TCATCTCTCCGGGGCCCTCAAGGCAGCTCACAGTGTAATTGTGGCCATAAAGAGAGAATCATCTTCCCCATTTGGCCGCGTGCTCCTTTTCACAAATCACTGCTCAGCCGTGAACTTACTCCTGTGAACGTTTTTCGCTTGATGGGAGTTGGAATCATGGGATCGCGTGAGTCTGGGACTCCAACATCATACTGCTCAAGAGGGTAAACAACTCGCATAAATAGCAGTTTGTGGAAATGAGTTGGCAGAGCTGAACGTGGGAACAGACTCGGAGTGCATCATTTATTCTGAAGCACTGTTATTCTCTCGTTTTCTAAGGAATTGTAAGTTGAGGAATGATTAACGCTGCGTTTTCAAGAGAAACAAGGCTGCCCAGGATCACTTTACCAGAGAGAGGTTTTCCTTAACTGAGTACTGTGAGCAAAGAAAAGTGACGCACATACCGCTAAAAAAAAAGCAACTCACGAGTTAAATGGAACAAACCATTCTGCCCCCACTTTTGAATGACACGAACAATGCAACAACTTTAGCAAAAACAATGAAGTGAAAGCCACATCTGTGTTTAGTTTTCAACACTTGAACTTAAAAAGGGATAGCTTGAGAGGTTCTAGACAGCTAATGACAGAGTTAAAACAGAACAGTTGTTTTGACAAAATGAATCTGAGACTTGAAATTTATTGGGAATTTCTAGAGAAGAAAAGAGGCAGAAAAGAAGGGTGGGGGGGGCAATGAAGGAGGCAAGGCCCTGTTATTGCTAGAGAAAATTACTCCATTTTCTTTGTTTATATTCTTTTGGTTAGTAGGAGATCTCTAAACACAGCACTGTAATACTACTTTATAGTAAAGAGGGTACAGCCTTGGAACATTCCACAGAAAGGATTTTCTACCATGGGAGGGCAGGGGAGAGACTATGTACAATGGCAGCAGAAGGGAAGGTTAGATTGCAATGTGAGAAATACTGGTTTTTGTAAAAAGGTGAGAAACACACAGAATTAAATTAACACTGCAAACACAGCAAGAAAGGAAAGAAAACAGAAACATACTCCGGAAAGGTATTTGTGCGGGATGCAAAAAAGAGGGAGCAAAAAGAAAAAGCTGCAAATTTTTGCCAAGCAAAGGTGGAGAAGAACTGTTGGTTGTTGTCAAATTCCCTTCCCTCATCCCAAATGGAATATATTTTTCAATGGCCAATATGCATAAGGCCAGAAGGAAGGCAATGCACACAGCCTCTTTGCTAGGCACTGCAATCCACATTTTGATCTTGGCAGGAATTGTGAGGTTTCTCCAAACAGCAGTTCCGGAGTATATTTAGCTACCAAAGCTGCGGTGCACACAAATGTCACATTCCCATGAGTCAACCCATTTAATTACCCCCCCCCCCATTTCTTGCATCTCTTCTCAAGATGATTCCCTCAAGATGTTTGCGCTGAATTAAAAGCGGAACATATGGATGTGACATCATCGAGGCGTCAGTGGCATTGAAAACAAAGCAGCAAGTGGCTTAAGAATTAGTACAATTAAAATGGCAAGTCCGGTTTTTGGGTAGGAGGGAAAGAGAGAAAGAGAGCGCAAAAGCACCTTCCACAGGTACAACAGAACCACCAAAAAAAACCACCCCCAAACAAACTGAGAAAGCATGTTGTAAAATAAAAATATAAGGCAGGAAGAAAACTTTTGTGAAGGAAAATAAATCCACAACCAAAGTGAACATAGGAAAGATTAAGCTTAATGCTCTCTTTCAAAAAAAAAAAAATTGCATAACAACTCTTTCCTTTGCCCTCATATAATAATTGGAATATCAGTAGCTTTTTTTTTAATGTGCCAGCTTGGCTTGAAGGGGGCAAGGGAAGGAGAGACAGCACACAGATATGTGATAATGGTAAACAACCATGCAGTCACCTCTGCCACCATTGTTTTTTCACCCTCTTTAACGTGTATAGACTGCTTCCAGCTTTGATCATATTCCTAATTAGGCCCCTAAGAATCCATATTTAAATACGCATGTTCAAGTGCTAATAAAGTCTCTCTGGTAACCTCATCATTAGGAGAATTCAAGTGAAAACAATCATAGCCCATCAGCTTTACGCTGGGGGCTGTCTTGAAATTTGGAAGGAGATTGCAATATGACTTAAGTAGGTCTGCTTGCCCATTCAGTCAACTGCTGTGCAGTCTCAAAAACCACAAAGAACAAGTGCACTCTACCAACTCTGAAAGACATTTTTTTAAAACTAGAGATTTATCAGCTGCTTGAAAAATATGTATAGATTATTATTATCATCCCACCTTTTAACCGAATGCCCATAAATAAATAAATATCCATAGGACTAAAATCTGCTCCACTCATGTTTTCAAATTTCTAGGAACAACTAGGATTGACTAATGTGTTGTATGTAGGGCTGTCTTTGAATACTTTCAAAAACCGAAGTTCCAAAAAGGGGGTAGAGGAGCCACCAGGAGCTTGACAGAGAGTAGTTGGTGGAACATACCTCACCAGTTCTGAAAAGCTTTTCACTTGCTTCTAGTCTATTTATGAGCACAATTCAAAGTGCTTGTATAAAACTCCATATAGCTTGGGAACAGAGGAACATCTCTTTCATTACAAGCATGCCTGTGTATTGAGGTAATCTTCAAAGACACTCCTTTCAGGTGCCTCCAACATTTGAGATAATGTGCCTGGTGACATCCCATTGCATAGTGGGACCTCAGGGAAGCTTGCCTGACATTAACATTCGGCATCAGGCAAAGACAATTTTATTATTTGAGTCCTTTTACTGTGTGTTTTTTTAAATTCTGTTTTGTATGCCTCCCTGGAAGATTTGCTGAAGAGTGGTGTATACCTCTTTCAAACAAATAAATACAACAGCTATATGCTGCTCTTGAGATACTGAAGGAACTACCTAACAACTTAGGTAAAAGGTAAAGGGAGCCCTGACCATTAGGTCCAGTCATGGCCGACTCTGGGGTTGCGGCGCTCATCTCACTTTATTGGCCGAGGGAGCCAGCGTACAGCTTCCAGGTCATGTGGCCAGCATGACTAAGCTGCTTCTGGCGAACCAGAGCAGCGCACGGAAACGCCGTTTACCTATTTATCTACTTGCACTTTGACGTACCTATTTATCTACTTGCACTTTGACGTGCTTTCAAACTGCTAGGTTGGAGCAGGGACCGAGCAACAGGAGCTCACCCCGTCGCAGGGATTCGAACTGCCGACCTTCTGATTGGCAAGTCCTAGGCTCTGTGGTTTAACCCACAGCGCCACCCTCGTCCCTACCTAACAACTTACACTTGGATAAACCAAAGTGCCCATTAGAGTAACTGACCTTAACTAAAAGGGCTTCAAGAATGAACAATGGAGCCTTTCATTAACCAATTAACTTTTCCCTCTGTGCTTAAAATTAACAACCTTTCACACTTACCTAGGAGTAAGCCCCATTGATCTCCATGGTGCTTATGTCTGAGTAGACATCACTGTTCGTTGATAATCAATGGACGTACCGTGCAATGTCTACACAGATGTCAATGCCTGCTACCAGACGTGTCTACTCAGAAGCAAGCCTCATTTAGGGCAATGGAACTTAGGCTTCCAGGTAAGTGGGACAGAACTGCACCCCAAACTGCAGAAAAACTTATTGCCTTAATTTAAACTAGAGGAAAATTTGACCCAAAGTGCTCTTTCCTCGCCGAAAAGCTGTCATCTGAGCACTACAGCTGTGCAACCCTATTCTTTGCCCGTGGGATTCCTATTGAAATTAAGGGAAGCTGCATGACATCAGCGTTGTAGTGGATTCTGTCCTAAAGTCTACCTTAAAGAAAGCATTTCCCCCCAGCTGAGAAGATTAAAGAACCTAGTTGCTTAATTCCTTTAAGCTGGGAGCTCAAGCCACTTCAACCAGAGTAGTGTAGGGAACTCTCACTGAAATGAAAGGTACTGAGTGTAACAAAAGTACAGACAGAACAGATGAAGCTGAAGCTCCCTGTTGAGAAGCATTAGAAAAGCTGGACCGGACGACTTTCAAGATTTGAGCATCTGTGATTGCGATCACACTGCATGCGGAAACAGCCAATCCAAGGCTGCAGCAACTGGCAAGAGATGGATATCATAGGAAGTGCCTAATCACCCCTCTTTCAAAGATGTGCCGTTTCAATTATGGGGGGCTATAAATTGGAATTGTGGACACACGCCCTCACTCTAATGTTTAATTAGAAAATGGAATAAAGACTGCAGCCTTATGATTAGCTGCCTGAGAGACAGCACGATGGCGGGTGGGACTTCTAGTGAAGAACTTAGAAACCTGGCACTTGTCCCATTGTAAAAGTTGCACTTAGAAAAACAACAACTAATATTTGAGCTACCAAACAGCAAAATGTTGACAATATGGGTACCTTTTTAATAATAAGAGAAAAGAAAGGACAATTACAATGGCATCAACCGTTCCTGCCACAGCTATTTGTGGCTCAATATGCCCTGTTTCTTCAAGCACATCCACCAGGAAACTTTATCAACATGAATGGGAGCACTGCAGGCTGTTATTAATGTCAACTGGGCTTGTACAGGGGAACTTCCAGGTGGAATGTGTCCTTTATTTCAAGGGATTTTCCGTAACACTACTAAGTGGCTTGAACATGCAGCTTAAATGAATTAAACATCAAAAGTACTTCCATACACTCTGTTGGAAGTGCGGAATGGTGAATAATGTAAAGCACATAGGTCATCTCCTATCACCATCATCTCATCTAGCTTAAAACTCCCCAGTCTTGTTCTCCAGCACACCCAAAGTTTATAGGCTCACATTTGTTCTGTATGGTTTTCTTGAGTCACTGGGCAGCCGAAACCCAATTTTACAATTTTATTATTTTGCTTTCTGCCTGTGTGTGTGATAAGCTTTTAATTATAGGGCCAGAGTTTTTATTGCAAGTTGCTGCGCTCCAGCTGGAAGCAGTTACACTGCAGCCGCTCCCCTCCCTCGCCACCACAGGAAGAATGATTTCCAAGGCCTTACCCTTCTTGTCCTGGTGATTATGGGATGAGACGGCCACATAGGGGTTTGTGTTTTCAGACGAGCCAACCGGATCCTTCCAATCGAGCATGCGGCCCCTAGCGTCATAGCCCTGTTGGGCTGGAGAGTCTGAAGTGGTAGTGCTGGGAACAAGGGAACTGGAGTGTCCTGTTTGCATCATAAATACAGTTAGGGAAAGGGAGAAGAAGCAGCCTGACATCAAGCAACATTTCCAAAGGCATTTCCTTGAAGGGTGTGCATTATTTGAACCTTCAGGGTTAATGAAAGAACATACACCTTTCTGAGTCCACAGATCCCTTAACCAACTACATTCTTTCTGCGGCACCCCTGTGGGGCTTAGGAGCCCAGTTGTGTCACCCCTTGCCTGCAGAGCTGGCAGCCTCTCACCCTTTTTCAAACACCCTACCCTGTGGAGTGTTCCCTCAGCCACCTCGCATCTCCCCTCCTCCTTGGGAGTCCTCTGGGCAGCTGCCGCAGCAACCCCTGATCTCTGAGTCACCTCAGCTCCTGGCAACCAGCCCCAGCCAGCCCCAGAGGCACTATTCACTTGGGGAGCACATTGTAGCCAGGGCTGCTGCAACAAACAGCTGTGCAAGCCTTTGGGACACAGAGACGCAAGAGGGCATCAGATGAGGGAGGGAAGGAAAGAGAGACAGAGGCCAGTGTTGCCTGCAGCACCCCTGACCATCATTCAAGGCACCCCAAGGTGCCCCAGCACACTGGTTGAAAACCACTGACATACACGATTAAAAGTCAAAGAGTTGCACATGTATTTTCAGCAAGGTGTTATCCAACACCTGAGAAGAGTGGCAGGATTATCTACAGCAGCCTTTGCCAACCTGGTTTCCTCCAGCTGGCGCTGATGGGAAACGTAGTCCAAAATATGTGGAGGACACCAGGATGGCAAAAGCTAATCATTGAGCGAGGAGGATTAGCTGAAAATTGCTGCCAAGGTTAAGGAGATCTTTGTGATTTGTGTCTCCTGCAGTTTCCACAATGGAACTTTATTTATGAAAAGCAAAACACCAGCCATGGTGGTTGGATAATTTGAAAAGAGAGAGAGAGAGGAGAAAAATAATCAAATGCAAAAGCAGAAAAAGATGAAGACAATCTCTTTCTTACTGTCTTCCTCAACTGATTTGGGCAGAGATAACCCATTCAGCAACAAAAACCATTAAAAAAAAAAGATTTTACCAGTCTCTTATTGAAAGCAAAAATGAAGTGTTGTCACAAGCCTTTCTAGGATATGAATTCTAGTGCTGCAAAGGAGGTTTCCTGATATCAGGCCATAGTATTTTGCTCACTTAGCCCAGTGTGCTTCACTCTAACAGCAGCTCTCCAAGGACTCAGAAAGAGACTGGGAGGTATTTTTTGTGCTCTCTGTTGCCAAACAGTCTCACTTCAAAAACGAATGAAATGTGGAGGAAGATTGCTCCAAAAGATCTTGGAAAATCTGTGATGGGATATAGGAGATTCCAGTGATTTGCTATGGGTCTGGTTGTCACCAAGCAATAACTAGATAATACTCCTTCTGGAATTTTGGGATTAAGTTTCCTCTCTTGGCCACTCATACTAGAAAGTAAACAGATGCATTTGTACCCATTAAATCTTCCTGCAGGCTTTCCAAGGCACCCTTCCATTTAGAGTACACGGCAGCAGCCAATCTGAGAACTTACACTGGCATGTACAAAAGAGCAGGTTCCTAACTTTCCAGGAGGCTGGAACAGGGAACTCAAAAGGTCATGTAATTGAAAAAAAGATTATCCTAGCCATCAAAGCTACATGGAATTCCAGAAGCACATGGGTCCTGGACCACAGCCTGGCGGGAAACTGTTTGTTTGGGGATCATAAGCCTTTGTACAGGACAGGCAGAATTCCCATCCCCAAGTCACTTGGGCCAACAGAACCTGCCTCTGAGGCAGGCAAAGGGAATTTCCAGCCCATGGGGAATTCTTGGCCTGCGAGGCTGTTTCAGCCAAGCCACGTTCATCATTGCTGTTGACATGCAGCTGTCAAACTTGGTCCACAGGTGTGTGTGTGTATAAGGATCAAGCCCACTGACCAGATCCAGTTCCTCACACCTATGCTAAGGGACGATCAGGAAGTGGTAGCACAGCCAGGAGCATCACGGGCTCAAAAATCTGGTGGGGAAGGCTATATACTGTGTGGGGAGAAGAAAAGGAGCAGGGAGAGTCAGCAGGGGAAGGAGGGGATGTGTTTGCCTTGAGTAGGGACTACTCAATGCAGCAGAATGAGAGAGGTGGGAGTTGTTCTCAGCCACATGAAGGCTGCAAGGTGGCTTAGGAACTCACGCCACCCCTTATATATTATGCTCTCGTACTTGTAACTAGTTTGCAGGAAAGCAGGTCAGATTCACAGTGTTTTACTGTGGCTGGAGCTATCAGTTGCAACAGCTAATCATTAACATGATTAATGTATAGGAATGTACCCCAGGCTGGAGAATTGCACTGACATGGGCACTGCATTATTCTTTATCTATCATGACAGGGAGTGCAGTTCCACCAGTGCCCATTAACAATGAAAACTTAGGAGTTGCCTTAAGGATTTCCAAAAGAATTCTTTAAAATTTATATTCTTTGAAAATAATAATTCCTTTAATTGGAGCGGGGTGGAGGAGGGGGGAAACCCCCACCCATTTGTTTTCTTGGCATTTGGGAATATAGCAGGGTGCCTAAACGTGTCTACAGAGAAGGAAAATCTCTGGAGATCTTGATATCAGCATTTTTCATACACTGCTTTGAATGTAGATAAAATCGGTGGAAACATATTTGGCTTCTGTAATTGGGACTGCTGCAAAAAATAAAATGAAAGAGGTACTCCCTAGCAACATGGTCATCCATAAGCAGTAACCGCCCCCCCCAAACACCGAGGCAGTGAATAGCCATGGAAATTTATATCTCGAGTTTTTCATGCTCATTCCCTGCAATTAGAGCACTACTGATATATCTCCTCCCCTGGGCAGCCCAACCTTCTGTTTACTTTTGTACATCACAAAAACTTGTTCAACTTGACCAGGAATGCAGTTCTCAGCACAATAAAGCAATTAGTTGTATCTAAAGGTATTAGGAGTAGAAGGAACCATTGCCAAATAGCAGTTGCATTTCATGCTTTGATTTAATATGCATTTTCCACCCACATCCCAGTACAGATACTTTTCAGTTTAGATGCGTTCAGAGGGGCCATTTTATGGTTAAGCTGTACGTATGGTTAAGGAAAACCTTTTCTTAATACGGTAATCTAGGGAAAATATTTGCCCAGGGGACACATTCTCTGCAGTAAGTGTTCCCAAACCATATGCTTCAACTATGTGGAGAACTCATTGATAATGGAAAGCTGTAACCATGTTAAAAAAATAATAATTAATGAGTACCAGATGGTAGTAGGGCAAGAAAGTGTTTCACTGAAATGTCAGAAATCAGCCTATTCACTCCGTTACTAATATGTTAGTCTACTGCACACTGAGAAATGATTTGCTACATGTAATCAAGATAAATTCTCTTTCATCTCGGTTTGAGAGATGAGTGAACAAATGCCAAAAAAAACCAGAGCATACTATTCTTTCCCACCAGGTCTTGAAATTTCTAACTGGTTACACTTTGGACTTGCTAGCTGGGCCAGCAAACAACCTCTTTTGCCAATACTTACCCCCTTGGAGCTCTAGCCTAGCCCAAAATTGTGCCACATTCATTGTCTATCTGCATTCTGATACAGGATATGAAGAACTGTCTTTTGCTAAGCCAGTTCAATGATCCATTGAGATAACTGCCGACAAGGCAGAGAGTTTGGTTTCCCAAGGATCTCAGACAACTGTATTTCCTAGGACAGTTATGTGAATTCTTATTTGGTCCCGTATATGAAAAGTATATATCTTTACTAAGCTGTGCTTTCCTATTCTTTAGAATGTGTTGCCATTCTTTTAGATAGCAGAATGGCTCACTGCAAAACTGTAAATTGAAGGCAATGGGAAACTTGAGGTTATGGTCACGATAGCGTGGAGTCCTTAGTATTCTTTTTTTTAAAAACAAAAACAAAACACCTGTGTAATATCTAGACTACAGGAAAAGCAGATATATACAATCAAATATAGAAGATGCCTTCTGTTTAATTTCTCAGAAGGAAAGAAATATTCTGCAAAAATAGTTTTTTACTAGATTTTGAAAGTTTACTAACAGTGTGCTTGAATCACCACCAGCATAGCATTATTTTTCAAACCAGTTTTTTCAGCTTCAATTTTAAAACTGTAATTCTTTCAGGTTTTAAAATTGAGCCTGATTTTAAAAATACGCATCTTGCCAAGATACCACATTCACGATTTGTAAAACTTTTGTCATTGTAATAACAGTATACAAAGAAGAAATTGGATGCAACCAGAAGACTTCACGGAAAGGATCTTGAAAATGTTAAGACGGGTTATCAATGCATACTAGCGTTTGTTCTAAGAGACGGCAGATATTAAAATGCTCTACACACTCTTCAGTTATGCGACTAGAGAACAACCTAGTAAGACAATGAATGGGGAAAGTTAAAGCAACACCACAAAGGGAGACAGGATGTGGCAGCAGCAAAATGAGGGCCTCATTCACTAAGACTGATGCATATGAGAGTAAAATTTTACAGGAAGAAAGCCTGTTTTGTTCTCCCCTTTCCCTGTGCCATGTGTATTTGACTTTTTGGCAGAACAGGTGCTTGACATGGTTGGTATGATTATTTTGGATATGGGAAACAATTGTGCATGAAAAGGTCAGATGCTTAAGTCTTTTCAATTTTATCACCTGTTATGTAAATTATTGCAGGAGTTTATCTGTCATGGCAGATAAGAGAGGGAAAAAACAACAACCCAGAGACTGAACTGGCAAGAAAAAATAAGAAGCAGCAAGGAAGTGAAGAAAACCATTCATTTCCTTGGCAATTGGGAGCATATTAGGCATCTTCCTCTGTCACCCACAGAGATATCCTACTGTGCATTTTCGGAAGTGGCAGTGTGCAGATCCACTGATGAAACAAGCACATCTACCGCTTTGCCATTTTGCCGTAGGCAGAGCAGAATGCTCCTACGTTTTCTTACTATTGACTACAATGTGAAGAAATTAACTACGCCATCCCCCATGGTGGATGCAGCACTCTGTGGGAGTGCTTGGGAAGCAAAGGAGCTCTGGATGAGGCCTATCCATGCTCCATTTCCCCCTGATTGACTGGCAAGACATTGCCAGTGGAACATCTATTCCACCAGAGCTTTATTTGGGTGGGGTGATTTCTAGCAGCATTATATATCATCACATACCGCTGCAGGGTGCAGGCCCATGGGATGGGGTGTTTTATTGTTTGCTGTTAATTAAAGGTAAAGGGACCCCTGACAATTAAGTCCAGTCGCAGACGACTCTAGGGTTGTGGCACTCATCTCGCTTTACAGACTGAGGGAGCTGGCGTTTGTCTGCTTCCACAGACAGTTTTTCCGGGTCATGTGGCCAGCATGTGGCGAACCAGAGCAGTGCACGGAAATGCCATTTACCTTCCCGCCGGAGTGGTACCTATTTATCTACTTGCACTGCGTGCTTTCGAACTGCTAGGTGGGCAGGAGCAGGGACCGAACAACGGGAGCTCACCCCCATCGCGGGGATTTGAACCGCTAACCTTTCGGTCGGCAAGCCCAAGTGGTACAGTGGTTTAACCCACAGCGCCACCCACGTCCCCCTTTGCCATTAATTACGTTGTCAATTAAAATAAAATAAAATCTGTGGGTGGCTTGACACTCACTCTGCCACACTGCACACAGTAATCACAATAGCAACCAGTATGCCGTATGGGAGGAAATGTTGCATCCTCTCAGTTACAAAATATTACATTCTGATCACAATAATGATTTCCCTGGAACTAAAGAGCACCTTTTTGACAATCCGGAAGCTTGCCTATTATGTGCAACAGAATATTACGTTGCCTGTTTCCTCCAAGTACTGCTTAAACTTCGGTCCTTCTAATGTAATTTCATTTAAATGTGAGGGATTTCCACCCAAGGAAATATATTTCAGCAGAAAGCAGCCTCTATCAAAACATGTTTTAGTATCAGCTAGGAAAATTTGCCAGGCCGTAAGTGTCAATGCTTATTGCTTTAGTTGATGGAAGGCAAAGACTTTAAAAGCTATGGGGTAGTGCTTAAATTATAATTTTGATTCTTGCCAATGCTATGATAGGGGGAGATCATGTGCCTTTCTCCTTTCCAAAACCCAACATCATTTCCAATAATGCTTCAGTTGATGCTATGCGTTTGGATGTATAACATGAAAAACATTTTCTCTCCTCATTTACAGAGTGGAAGTTCCGTATTAAAATGAAATACTGCCTCCCCACGCAAAACAAAGGTTAGATATCTCCCCATGGGTCTTCCTGTGTTTTCATTATTATACTAGGACACAAATGTTGTTTGCAAATACTGTAACCCCAGATGGAAAACAAGTTTAGGAAAAAACAACATTTGTTTGCTTTACTAATAAAAGGGCTGACTCTCACAATTATTTATCTGTTAAAGATCTTTGATTCTGTTAGGTACACATGCATTTTGAACGTCAAGTTATGCTTCACCTGCTACACAGTAAGGGCAGAAGTGGAATCTAAGAAAGAAACATCATGTTTCTTTCGTAACGTAAATGGATGTGCGCTTACTCAATTCCTCATTTGCTATTCCAATTCTTCTCTGTGAATTTCCCCCAGTTTTTTTATCTCCCTGCCCCTAGCCTGACTTCTAGAGTCAGAATATGGTGTGTGTGTGTGTGTGTGTGTGTGTGGAGAGAGAGAGAGAGAGAGAGAGAGAGAGAGAGAGAACCAGTGACTGAGAAGATTAAGCACCCCATATTTCTGCCCATTGATCCTCTACTGATAGTGTCGCCCACTGATATATTTTTGCTCCTTTGGCAAACATGGGCCGGGACCATATGCTTGCCAATACGGCATCTAGTTCTTGTGCTTTTCATGGCTGAAAAATGACAACTGTTGTCCATAAGTTGAGGGCAAATTTGACTCTCTTGGCCAACCACAGAACCAGGCAGAGGGCCTTTCTGGTAGTTGTCCCTGCCCTGTGGAAGATGTCAAACAGATAAACAGCTGTGTGGTTTTTAAAATACATCTGAAGGCAGCCCTGCTCAGGGAAGTTCATAGTGTCTGATGTTTTATTGTGCTTTTACTGTTTTTTGTTGGGAGCCGCCTAGAGTAGCTGGGGCAACCCAGTTAGATGGGCAGCATATTTATTTTTATCATCATCATCATCATCATCTGGTAGCTGAGTATTTAAGTCAGGACTTCCCACTCTTCAGCCTTCCTTCCTTGAGTAGGAGATACAAAATTTGTCGCCAGTGCTTCATTTTGGGACGGAGGCCTGATGTGCCCTTCCCAATTTAGCCGTGCTTTAACTGTCTGCGCATTTTGATTTTGTATAATATGGGTGGTATTCAAAACTAGTCTTACTCAGAATAGACTCACTGGAGTTAATGATCGTGATTAACGTAGGCCCATTAATTTAAACAGGTCTCCTCTGAGCAGGGCTTAAACTGAATACCACCCTACAACCTTTTGGACCAAATGTTACATATCTCAATTTGTATTGAGTACATAACCATGATGTTCTTCATACTAGATGGCATAAACTTGACTACGAAGCTTGGTCACTTTATGCACAAAAATATACTTCAGGTTTTAATACCCTTTTGCCTAGGAGCTGTTCCTCTCTCCTATAATTTCCTTTTCCAAAGTTCTGCATGTGAATAGTTTAAGCATGTGAATTTACATGACATTTGGCTTTAGCTCGCATTAAGCTTATTTCAGGGACGCGGGTGGCGCTGTGGGTTAAAGCCTCAGCGCCTAGGACTTGCTGATCGAAAGGTCGGAGGTTCGAATCCCCGCGGCGGGGTGCGCTCCCGTTGTTCAGTCCCAGCACCTGCCAACCTAGCAGTTCGAAAGCACCTTCAGGTGCAAGTAGATAAATAGGGACCGCTTACCAGCGGGAAGGTAAACAGCGTTTCCGTGTGCTGCGCTGGCTCGCCAGATGCAGCTTGTCACGCTGGCCACGTGACCCGGAAGTGTCTGTGGACAGCGCTGGCTCCCGGCCTATAGAGTGAGATGAGCGCACAACCCTAGAGTCTGGCAAGACTGGCCCGTACGGGCAGGGGTACCTTTACCTTTACCTTTAAGCTTATTTCAAGGGTTTCTGTGGATGAGGAAAGACTGAAATAGCTGTACTAGGGTAAGATAAATGAATCTTGTATCAGTTTAGTGAACTAGGCCCCAAAATGAAACGGACTATATCTACTTTGGAATGGAAACTACGAACTACTACCACAAGGATTTGAGGAAGAGTGGCTTTTTTAAAAAAACAACAACAACAAAACTCCAAAACTGACCATACACTGTAGTGTAAGACATTTCATGATCTGATGAAGTAGTTGAAATGTCTATGAAGAAAAGTAAATAAGGGCAAAATATTAAAACAATAAAAACATGGAAATATTTGACAAGGTTGTAAAATATATGATTCCTCCAAAATTGATCTGCACAGACAGGTATTAAAACAATGTGGAAGGGGAACTTCCTTACCATTCAGTGCTACGAACGAATCTGGAAAAAAAAAGAGAAAGGAGAGGGAGGGGAAAGGGGAAAAAATTATTTCTAATATCGTTCTAAGTTGTCTATCCACAAAACCTCACATACATCCTTACTGCTATTCATGTGTATAGTGTCACTCTGTGCTGATTCTCTCATATGGTTTTATCATATTGATGGTTGAATCTTGCCTTAAGTAAAAACTTGTTTTTTATTCTTGCAGAGAAACATGGGGTTCTTGGATCCCAAAAGGAGATAGGAGTTCTATTTGTGCATGGGGAGGTAGGTGAGAAGAATGACATCTCAACCACCTTTGGGGAAGGGATTTGGGGGGCTCATAGGAAAACCAGGAACAACCCTCCCTATGGTCAAGTGAAAGTGCCTTTGGAGAGTGCAAAGGAAAGTCTGCATTCAAGCCGTGGCATAATCTTCTTGGATCAATATTTAAACACTCTCTTTGGTACTGCACAGCTATTGTACACTGTAGTTTTGATTATAAAATTGCTGGTTTTTCTGAGAGATTTCAACCTCAAGAGTGGGGTAACTTTTTTAAAACAGAAAATAAAAAACCCCAACCAAATGCGTATGGGTAACCAATTAGAGATTGGTTTGCAGAGTTTATTTATAATCAAGAGATCTTGACTAGTAACAATAATTCCTGTAGCCATGCAGTTCTCTTTGTATAACCCAGGGCACATTTCCGCTTGTCCCATGAATAGAAAGCATGGGTCCAAGCAATTTTCCCTTTGCCCTGTTCCTTTCCCAAGGAAATTCCACTCTTTAGTGCTCAACTGAAGGAAACGTCAGTCCTGAATTGCTGTTTGCTCTGACTGAGCACCAAAGAGCTGTTTTCTCTGGGGAAAAGCAGAGGGACAAAAGGAAGTATGCATGAACCCCAAAGCTTAGTTTAAGAAAAAAGGGAACAAGTAATGTGCCAAACCATATGAGCGAATCATGATCGGAATAAAGGGAACGACAGGATTGGCAACAAAAATAAAGATAGATTTGTGTGCTGCATCTTGGTGGGCCACCTAGACTTTCAAAACAAATGGGACCCAGGCTTGAGCATATAACTAGCTGTATGCAAAAGGGTCGATCTCACTCAGGGTGCAAGACTGGTGCCTTTATAATAAACGTTGCCAATTAACTATCATGTCCTAGCTCCTTTGAGCCAGAATGACAAAACCAGAACCTGTCATGCTGCGGTAAGAAATTCAATCTAAAAAATAATTAGTTGGTGTATATCTATATGGTTGAATTTCAAATGCTCTTTAGTAGTCTTACATTCAGTTTTGGTGGAATTCATAAAGAATAAATCTGGCGCGCAATCTCTGTTCAGATTTATGTGCCAAATGAGAGTGAGGAATGCAATGAAAGATGCCATGGTCCCCAATTCCCAATTGTGAATTACCAGGAAATTATCATGTTCTCGTTGTAAACTATGGGATAAGCTTCACGTTGGAGGAGAGATGGGTGCGATCAAATTCATACACAGAGATGGCCCTATTACGTATTCAGTTGTAGCCTGGGATCATTCCTATGCATGGAAGCCTGCCTGTCCAGGGGGTATGACTGAAAACTTTCTCAAGCTGGCAGAAAGGCTCCAGATTCCTTGCCTTTGAACAGGTTGATGTGGAAGAGAGAAAAGCTTATGCGTGGAAAGCAAACTGGATTGCAAGTTATAAACAAGGTGGCAAATGCAGCAGGACTGCATGACTCTGTCATGTACAATAGGACCCAATCAGTAGTTTATATGGGTCTATATATATTTATTTCATCAACTGACATTGACGAGAAGAGATACATACAAACATGCTGGCTGTTTGGCACTTATCTAACTGTACTAGGTTTTAACCCATATAGTACTCAATATACAGTTGTACCTTGGTTCTTGAACAGAATCCATTCCGGAAGTCCGTTTGACTTCCGAAAACGTTTGAAAACCAAGGCACGGCTTCCAATTGGCTGCAGGAGCTTCCTGCACTCAATTGGAAGTTGTGGAAGCCACATCAGACGTTCGGCTTCCAAGAAACTTTTGCAAACCGGAACACTCACTTCCAGGTTTACAGCCTTTGGGAGCCAAAATGTTCGAGTTGCAAGGCGTTCCAGAACCAAGGTACAACTGTGAATGTGGTTGATTTTAAATTCTGTGGGAGGGGAGGTTATTGGTTTGTTTTTGTTTTCATTTTATTATGTATTTCGTGTTCTCATCATGTATTTTTATGTTGTGAGCTGCCCTCGGAGGAAGAGAGGTATACAAACAAACAACTAAAAATGGAGCTAGATTCCAGGGGAAATGCCTTTGCAATCCCACCCACAGGGATGGATTTAGTGATGTGCGAGTGGTGCACATGCACGTTGCACAGAGCCATGGGGGCATCACCTCAAACCTGGGTAAGTGGCCTTAAAAAGCTGGGTTAAGTGAGGCGCAGGGATTTGGGAAAGAGGTGTGAGGGCTCTGACAGGGTCTTTGAGCCCTAGTTAGCACTGTCCCAGCTTTGGGTAGAAGGGGAGGGCTCTAGGACCCTGCCAGAGCCCTTGTGTCTCCTCCAAAGCTGGGTACTTCCTTACTTGGCTTTGGAAAGGCAGTGCAAGGACTTGGGAAGGATGGGCAAATTTTGGCCTTGAACAGGATGCCATAATACCAAAGTTCACCGTCACTACCTGCCGCTGAACCCAATGGGTTTAGACTATACAGTCGTATCTTGGATCTCAAACGCCTTGGCTCCCGGACAAATTGGCTCCCAAACGACTGAAACCTGGAAGTGAGTGTTCCGGTTTTCGAACAATTTTTGGAAGCCAAACATCTGGTGCGGATAATCCTGCAGCCAATCGGAAGCCACACCTTGGTTTTTGAAAGGTTCTGGGAGTCGAATGGACTCCCGGAATGCATTCTGTTCGAGAACCAAGGTATGACTGTACACGATTTTGATTTTAGGTGTCAGCACAGGAACATAACTTCCAAGTTAAGCCAACTATGAAGTATGATGTTTTGTTCTTAGTAATTCAAGAATGTAGGTCTCAGCCCTAATGGCTTGTAAATTCAAGGCACATTCACCTCAGTACATTTACTCATAAAGGTGCAAGCTTCACTGTTTTTATGATTGCAACTCTGCACCCCCTGAAGTCCTTTTTTGGGGGTGAAATTTTCTTTGAGATAACTATGTTCAGGATCCAAGAATTCAGTGTCTGGGCTCCTCTTGGAGGAAGGGCAGGGTAAAATTATAAATCACCACCACCATCATTACCCTCTTTGAGTAAATTTCCTGGAATTTACTTCCAAGTAGGCATATTTAGGATGAGCTAGAAGTATTTAAAATGCACGCCACGTTTTTTCCCCCTTTCTCTGTTAAATTATACATATTTCCCCCTCTTTCTCCTTTAGCCAATTAAAAGCAATTAAAGTTATGAGGATAAGAATATTTAAGGTGAGTTGAGGATGCACCTTGAATTATCCTTAAGCACTGCTGAAGGAATTAGGATACGGCTGTTTTGTGTAAAACCAAGGCACTGAGGCAGTAACTTAAAAGACTTCTGGCATATGAGCTTCTAAATGCTCCTCCTGAGGTTAGCACAGATAGGCTGATTTTAAGAGTTGGAGAAGAAGGTTACATCTTGGATGTAGCTCATGAGTTTTGAACATTAAATAATTGGCCATGTGTGTGTTTTTCATCTCAGGGGGTACATTCTGTTCTGATAGCTTTACATTATCTTGATTTGCCTCTTACTCAACGAGAGTGCTGCTGATCCTTCTGTAGCTCTTTGTGAACAAGAAACTCTCAAGGCTGGCTAAAGGTATCAGAACAAAGAGCTATCTCAAGAGCTTTCAACTGTGCTGCCCTCCAGATATTGCAGAACTACAACTCCCATCATCCCCGCCCATTGGTCATGCTGGCTGGGCTGATGGGAGTTAAAGAGTCCAACAACACTGACTATCACAGACGAATTATATGTTAGATGCAAGGGAAAACATGCATTTCAATGTCTGCAGAAGGGAATTTGGAGAAGGAAAGAGTCAAGGAGGGAAAGTGTTAAGGGATCTACACACACACACACACACACACACACACACACACACACACCTTCTTCAATTGTCCAAATTTCACTCTGCTGAATATACTATGGTAGGACTGGTCGATATGGTAGCCTCCAGAAATTGCTGGACTCCAATCCCTGTTGTTCCCAGCCAGTATGGCCCATTGGCCAGGGATGCTGTGAGCAACATATGAAGGGCACACATTCCTTCTCTCTCTTTGGGGCGCTACATGCAGCTATGTGTAGCTAACTTTGTAGGGTTTATGTGGTAAGCATAGGGTTTATGAATTGCATTTGCACTGATTTGGTGCTTTTCAAAGTGTGCAGTTGGTTCGATTTCATTTTAAAAAGGGCTTTTCAAATCTGCTCAAGAACAAATCACTTTGGGACATGCACAATGAAAAACAGGTATTCCAACATACATGCTCTCACCTCTGTTCACATTCTAAATCTTTGTGTATAAATTGATTCAAAGTTTTGGACGCTATCAGGTGATAGACCGTAGCAAGTTAGATCAAGCACCTCACATAGATCATGACAACTTCAGGAATACAGACCACTAACAATCAATAGTTAACAATCAAGTTAAGATGCTCCTTGCTCTTCCCTTTTCAACTACTGACTGGCAGATCTATATCTAGTTCTGTTCACTTAAACATAGCTGAATCCAAAGTTTGGATTGCCTACACTGCAGGCTGTGTCATTTTTCCTGAGTAGTTAGGTAGTCCAAGTCAAAATCTGGCTCTATTTTTGTAAAGCAAACATGCATTTGTTTAAAGCAAATGTTTATTTGCATTAAAAAATCTATAGCTGGAATCAAGACACTGAGAATATGCTTTTTGCTTCCAAATCGGGATGAGCCAAAATGTTTAGATGCAAGCATCATTAACATGAAAAAAGTGTCTTGTAGAGGGTCTGAAATGAATCCCCAAAGTTTCTTCCCTCACTCTCTTTCCTGCTTTTGCTGAACTGGCAAAACGTCCGTGAAAACCAGGATGTATGGCAAGTAGGGAGATTTTTTTTAAAAAGGCCCCAAAATAACTTAGTCTGGATTTTCAACTTCTGGGAATATGGCAACCTTATAAATATTGTTAGTCCTAGTAATAGTGATGCTGCTCTTTGGCCAAACAGGGCCAGCCCCACAGTTGAGGAGGTCTGTGGCGAAGCGCCATCTAAAAGCCCCCTCCCCAGTGCACTCTTATATTTTGAAGTGACAGCCCCCATAGCCACAGCCCCAAGGGGGTTCAAAAAATGCAGGCAGCCGATCCACAATTAATATATGCATGTGTCTGCATGCACCCACACTCTGAAGAGTACACAGCATAACTCCCAATGACTGCAATTGCATGCATAGCTTCCTAGGAGAAAGCTCAACTGAACTGCAGCGGTGCTTATTTCGAACTGCCAAGGTTCAACTTGTAAAACAGATTGAGCTGTAACAAAAGATCTTCAGCCAGCTGAACTGCAACCTTAGATTCTAATTAGAAATGCAAACAGAAGTAGGTCCCCCCCATCAAAGGAAAGAAGTAGCCAGACTCTGCTTGATTGTGTCCATCTTCTGATTTCCTCTGTGTTATTTTGTCGCAAACAAACTTCATTCACCTGACAGACGGAGGGCCAGGGGGCTCCAGCAGTTGACGGTATCACTCTGCAAAAAGTTCCTGAGGTACACTACAACGCTGCCCCCGCCCCACCCCCTAACATCTGCTCCCAGGTTTTGAATTTGCCCAAGAAATGTCCAAATGTTTGTGTGTCACTTTCGATCATTGGGGAGGAAAAGAAGGGTTGTCAATATGGTTTGATAGGCAGTGCCTGTATTTCCACCCATGTTTCAATATTACTTAACTTTTGGGGAATTGGAAGTACCGTATTTTTCGTCCCATAGGATGCACCTAGTTTTTTTGGGGGAAATAAAGGAAATTCCCCCCCCTTTATTCCCCCCCCCCAAAGCAGGTCGGGGAAACCGAACCAGGTTGAGGAACAGCGGGATGGCGGCGCTGCGCCTCCCTGCTGTCCCTCGAGCTTGTGGGGCTGGCCGATGTCTGCCCGGCGCACGGGGCGCTCTGCTTCAGGGCGCCCCGCCCGCCGGGCGGCAGGCTGCTATCCGCAGCATGGGGAGCCCTGCGGGGAACTCCTGCAGGGCTCCCCACGCTGCGGAGGTGTTCCCGAAGCGCCGGGCACTCTGCTTTCAGGGCACCCAACGCTCCGGGAAGCAGGCTGCTATCCGCAGCCTAGACATCCCTGCGGGACCTCCTGCAGGGCTGCCTAGGCTGCGGGTGTGTTCCCGAAGCGCCGGGCGCTCTGCTTTCAGGGCACCCGACGCTCAGGGAAGCAGGCTGCTATCCGCAGCCTAGACAGCCCTGTGGGACCTCCCGCAGGGCTGCCTAGGCTGCGGGTGTCTTCCTGAAGCCTGGAGAGTGAGAGGGGTCGGTGCGCACCGACCCCTCTCGCTCTCCAAGCTTCAGCGAAAGGTGTCAGGAGTGATCCCTCCCACGGCACTTGGGCCCTGGCAGCTATCCAAGTATGCCTTATGGTGGTGCCGGGCTCATAGCCAAATCTAATTGGCTTTTGTGTTTATGTAACTATTGCTAGGATAGAATGGTTATTTTTTTAAAAAAGAAAGTATGGAAGAAGCAGCTGATTGTTGTTGCTAGGATCTTATTCTCTCTAGAGCATCACCTGCTAGAATATCCCACCTCTGCGTCTGTGGTGAATGTTGCCAATCTGTGAACCAAAAAATTGCTGGAAGGGACACAAATGTCTTGTGTAGGAGGAAAAATTCAAAAAACGTGCCCCGTGGCTGATTTCTTTGTTACCCTAGGCACCAACTCAGCATTCAAAAACACTCCTCTTACACAACCTAGGTGGAATTTGTAATTACATTTTCTTCGGAGCTAGGTTTTACTTCCAACACAATTGCGATTTAAATAGGTGGTGTTGTTGTACAACAAATTTCCTTGAATGCTGCTCTTGCCTTTTTTTTAAAGGTCTGTTGTTAAAACACTGTTTTCGCCATTGTCATGATTTTCTATCTTTAACTTTGCTGATACTGAGCAGGCAGCATCCAAGCATCTACAGAGATTCTCTAATGTAGGATAAAATGAAAGAGCAGAAACAGTTGTGCTTACTTTGGCAGTCTCCCAGGCCATCGGTATTGCCATGCTCAATGTCCTGCTCAAATGCAAGTCTAAACAAAAGAAAGAAACAGGCTGGTGAGAATTACTGCACTCACAGGCCTCAACACATTGAGCCTAGAAGTGAAAGGAAGAAACAGACAAAACCCGCTTATTCTTCAAATACTTGCACAATGCAAGCAGACGAGGATTCCTAACGAGACCCCAAAGTATTCCTTCTCACCCTTATCTTTACGTGACAACCAATATAGAACCAGTACTGTTTTGCAACATGGACACATGTCAGGACAGATAGTTTCTGTGCCTAGACTTCTGGTGTGATCATGCCATGTTATTTAACTGAAACTTAAGGAATATATATTGGCATGAAAGATGCACTGTTCCCCTCCCCCCCAAAAGAAACCCCAATAACCTGGAGAATGTCTCATTTCATAGTGTATGAATCTAAAAACACCAAGCAGGAAATGCTCATTCAGAGTGGCAAACACAGTGTTAAGCTTATGCGGAAAGGTTTGCTATCTGCCCATGAAACTCCTCCTTGGATATATGAATCTATTACAAAAAAGTGGCTTAGGCACCCCTGTTCTGAGTTAGTACATCACCAGCTTCATAAAAATGTGATAAGGAATCTGCAGTCGAGGCTTTTTTTTTTACAATGGCCTTCTTAACTTAGAACGTGAGCAGGTATGTGTTTGGTAATTTGATATGGTATTGTGCTGTAAGGAAGCACGTATCAATTAATTTAATTATTAATTAATTAATTACTATTATTACTATTGACTTTCTATACCACCCTATACCCGCAGGTCTCGGGGCGCGTTTAGAGCGGTATATAATTCTCAGATTTTCTGAATTGTGCAATACTGCTGTGCCATGAAACCACAACACCATGGCATCTCAGAATGGCAAGTTATCCTAAATGTTACCCAACCAAGAGGTGAAAAGAACACAAAAATGTTTTCTGGTGGTCTCTCCATGTTGCATGTCTATGTAGCTCCAATCCTAGTCAGAAATAAATCTGCCTACAATAGTACCATGGAAGCATAGAGAATAGAAAGAAAACAAATGTTTATTGGCTGCCTGCTGGTTTTCATCAGAACTCTATTCAAAAGCCTATTTGAGCAATACTGTTACTGCAGGTTAAAGTACCTCTCAATGCGAATTATAACTTACGTTGTTCCAGGTAACAGCTGCATGCATGCCCCACTTTCCTTCATCCAGCCACAATACGGGTCCCTAGATGCTATGCAGGCCCTTAATAGAGGAGACAGATACGGAGTTCTTTGCGATCAGTAGCTCAATGTCAGTATCAACGAATCAATACTTTTGTGTGTTTGAGAATGGAGTTAGCAGTTGAGAGGACACACGTGAAGAAGTACCTACTTTTTGCACTTGCCGTGACGCTCACACCTTCCGAGGGGAACCCTGATTAAACAGTTAGAGAATGCTACATAGAGGGCACTGCTTTGCTTATCCAGCTGCATCCCTATAATTCTCTTGTCTTCCACCCCATCATAGCTGCACCTGATTTGGAGGGGGAGAGAAAGGCTGTTTGATCAGCTCAATGGAAATCAGAAAGACAATTTGTTTACATCAGAAACATTTCTCAGACAGGATTAACTCATGAAAGTGGAAATTTCCAGCTTACAAAAAACAACAACAACAGGCACATAAACAATTCAGGTTCCCAATCTGCTGTCCTGGAGGGGGTTGGATGGTGCAGAGGGAGAGGTGTCTGGCTCTGCTGCAATGTACCTCCCAATTTCACCTGCATAAACCACAAGCAGAAGCCAGCACCAGTAGTATCCCTGCTGGTAGTAGCCAGCAGATGCTCCTGAAACAGGCTATCTAGAAGGCCGGAAGAGATCTGGGCTGGTCAAGTTTCCACTGGACCACAAGCCGGTCTGGCTACCAGCAACATGCTCAATCTAGGCCTCTCTCCTGTGCCAGTGTGGAACTGGTGTGTCAGAAAAACCACCAGGATTTCCATGGTCTGCCTTCCCTCCTAATCCAGCTGTGCTCTGGACTTAGTAGTCACTCAGCCTCTCCATTAAACCTTGCTGCTGCCTGCCAGGAGTTTGGTTTGCTCCCTAAATCATATTATCACTTAAACTAATATCCTAATTTGCGGAGCCTGCTTAAGAGACTGAGAGGCAGGGTGACTCAGCATAGTGTGACAGGGAAGTTTTGCTTTTGCCTCCTGGGAAGCAAATCCAGGGATGATAAGGCTGTGGAGTGCATATGGAAAACAATCTAACCCCACTCCTCGCTATCTTCCCATATTTCATCCATTACGTGTGTGTGTGTTTATGTGGGAGGGGGTGTTGTCTGCCAACTTAAAGGTAAAGGACCCCTGACCGTTAGGTCCAGTTGTGGATGACTCTGGGGTTGCGGCACTCATCTCACTTTATTGGCCGAGGGAGCCGGCGTACAGCTTCCGGCTCATGTGGCCAGCATGACTAAGCCGCATGGAAACGCCATTTACCTTCCCGCCAGAACGGTACCTATTTATCTGCTTGCATTTTGACATGCTTTCGAACTGCTAGGTTGACAGGAATAAGGGCCGAGCAACGGGAGCTCACCCCGTTCGCGGGGATTCGAACCGCCGACCTTCTGATTGGCAAGTCCTAGGTTCTGTGGTTTAACCCACAGCACCACCCTTTTGCTAACTTACAGAGACACATTTAAGTGTATTTGAGCATTCATAGAGTTACTATGAGCACAGGAGAATCCCTGCATCAAAAGGTTGGAAGGTGACCAGAATGGCAATGGGAACAGTGGTGACAGGGCTACTGCAGTCATCCCCGTAACTCCCTTACACATTAATTTAACATGCTGCCTGAATGCCTGAAGAGGCCTATAGTTGCAAAACCCAAAATAATGTGTTTACTATATCATTTCTGTTTGTGTGTTTGTGTGGAGGTATAATTATTTGCTGTGATGTGTTGACCACAGCCATTTTTTAAATGGGGAAATTAAAATTCCTGAAAACAACAACATATTTTCCACATTCAATACTAATAAAAACCCCCACCAGTTTCCTTGGCTCCCCACCCCCATTGGCCTGCACTGTGTGTGAGACTAACACATATAGGAAAGAGAACCAACGATACGTACTTTTCAGAATTGTAAGTGCTCATCTCCTCCAGGAAAAGACTGTCATTTAAAAAACCACTGTTTCCTGTCCTGACCAAGAACTTCAAAATGATTCCCTTCTCTGATCCAAGGAAAACCACAGTGTGATTCCGATTTGGCCCAGCAGCATTATCTACAGCAATTTTGGTCAGGCGGTATCTGGAACAACATTGCAGTTTTAATTATCCCAATAGGCTGTCATTTGCTTTATCTTTCCCCCCCTTTCTTTCACTTTATAGGTCAGTATTTAGTATTTTTATAAGCAGAGCTTATCTATTCACATGTAAACACAATTTCCCACTTAAAATAGACAGGTCCAAATTATTTCCACACAGGACATGATCATGCCTAGGGTGGGCCAATTTGGCTAAAACAACAAGGCTACTTTGAAAGCTAGAATTATTCAGCAACTTTGAGGCAAGCACACAGGGAAAGCCATACATTGGGAGTGGAGAGGTCACAGCATTTCACCCTCTGATTCTCCATTTAAAGGTAAAAGGTAAAGGTACCCCTGCCCGTACGGGCCAGTCTTGACAGACTCTAGGGTTGTGCGCCCATCTCACTCAAGAGGCCGGGGGCCAGCGCTGTCCGCAGACACTTCCGGGTCACGTGGCCAGCATGACATCGCTGCTCTGGTGAGCCAGAGCCGCACACGGAACGCCGTTTACCTTCCCGCTAGTAAGCGGTCCCTATTTATCTACTTGCACCCGGGGGTGCTTTCGAACTGCTAGGTTGGCAGGCGCTGGGACCGAACAACGGGAGCGCACCCCGCCGCGGGGACGCGCTGAGGGATTCCCCGCCGCGTCCCAAGGGATTCTCCATTTAGTTTAGTTCAAATCTGTTACCTAAAGCCATAAGCTATCATAATACAAGGGGCCGCGGGTGGCGCTGTGGGTAAAAGCCTCAGCGGCTAGGGCTTGTCGATCGAAAGGTCGGCGGTTCGAATCCCCGCGGCGGGGTGCGCTCCCGTTGCTCGGTCCCAGCGCCTGCCAACCTAGCAGTTCGAAAGCACCCCCGGGTGCAAGTAGATAAATAGGGACCGCTTACTAGCGGGAAGGTAACGGCGTTCCGTGTGCGGCTCTGGCTCACCAGAGCAGCGATGTCATGCTGGCCACGTGACCCGGAAGTGTCTGCGGACAGCGCTGGCCCCCGGCCTCTTGAGTGAGATGGGCGCACAACCCTAGAGTCTGTCAAGACTGGCCCGTACGGGCAGGGGTACCTTTACCTTTATCATAATACAAAATAATTCATTGAGAGCTTTTTGCATGGTTACTGAATTCTGTATCCTATTTTTGTATGTGGTCCTACATCCATGTACAAAACTATCCGTTTATTCCTGAAACATGTACAACTAAATATTTACAACATACAAACACCATCATACATGTCAACATGTCTGTGAATAAAATTATTGTACAAATATGCCTGTGACACAAAGCTCACAAATCTTCTGATGCATACTCCAGTCCCTAGAAATGTGTTTCTGAAGGTAGCTGACTTGTGTATCCTTCTGGAGAAAAATAACCTCTCACTGTTTCTTCTTAAGTTGAGCCATGGGATTATTTGGATATGAATAGTTCTCTTTAAACACTTGTGTAAACATTAACGCTTTCCATAACATATCCTGACAGACATCAGCATATCCTCAAAACATCCTAGCAGACAGCTTTCATATCCGGTGAACGTACCTTGCAGCTAAATCAAAAGTATTTAAAATGCTGACTCTTAAAAGTAAATGTCTAAGTTGGTGCTTCCTCTCTAACATAGACTGAGGGTAGCCTGGGTGGAATTAGTAACAACTTTCCATTCATTAAAGTTCTATGATACCCAGAAGGTTCCAGGATATCAGCTGGAAGGACATGAACTTATGACCTTGTTGAAACTGAGGATGTCTGGCCAGAGCCTGGATTGGAGATCTTCTGGGAGATGGAAGTATGATACCCTTAGGTTTAATGATGGCTCGGTTGGTCAGAGTGTGGTGCTGATAACACCAAGGTTGCAGGTTCAATCCCTATATGGGATGGCTATATATACCAGAATTGCAGGGGGTTGGATTAGATGATCCTCAGGATCCCTTCCAACTCTACAGTTTTATGATTTTATAGAAGAAAGGTTAGATATAAACGTAAGGAGATTAAAAAGTAGTTCTGCAGGAACATTCTTGTCTCTGCCCTAACCCATTAGAATGCAACAATTGCCTTATTGGATTACACCAAAGGTCCATCCAGTCTAGCATTCGGTTTCCAAATATGGCTAGCCTTACTGGAGCCTTTCTGAGTCTCGCTGGGATGTCAGCATCCTAAATAATCTGATTATCTACAGGCATAGTAATTTCCCCATTTCTACCTCTCTCTGTCTCCAGATGATGATTATTTTTAAAAGAAGATTTAAAATAAACATTGCTCTTAGTACAAATATTTGGGGATGCACCTGTAAGTTCTTTCCACTGTCAACCCTGTCCAATTATTTATTGTCCTCTATTTCCGGTTTTTAACTAGTTTCCAAAGCACCTCCTACATAGATGCTTGGCTTTAATGTATGGACATTCAAAAGATCAACATCAGAGTTCATTACCAAATTTGGACAGGCAGACATGAAAGGAAACGGAATGGAATATATTTATTTACCTGACCATCGTCCGCAGAAACCATGGCTTGTTGACAATGGATGGAACAGCTTCATCCATGAGAGAATGTGTTTTGATGAAGTTCAGAGTGTCATCTGGAAATTCATTGGAAGACATGTACTTTTCAAGTGATGTTGAGCCAGCACAAGAACCTGGCCTAAATCAAAAACAGGGTGGGAGGGAATGTGATTATTTATTGCTTTTGTGCAAATATTCTACATAAACTGTTTTCCTAAGCACCTGTTATTAAGTGAGAGTGTGCCAGAGGCTTTGTAGAAACTGAACAATGCATAATGGCACCAACTGAAGCACTCTTAGATTTCCTCTGGGCCTAGTCATTCCACAGTGCGAGAGTAGAATTCAGCACTCAGTCTGCGTTGTGGGAAAACCTGATTTATGGCCATTAGTGCACATAAATTTCCTAAGCAGATTATGAAGTTTGTAAAATGCAAGTTCACAGTTCATCCATCCACATGGAGCCCAATAAACACATACACAGCTTGGCAAGATTCTGCTCACTCCTTAGGCGTGCTCCAGATTTTCTTTTCCAACACTCTCTTTCTTGGAATTAAGAGCACTTTATTTAATTTGCAAGGGAAATGTTACATTTTCCTGAAACTGTGAAAAAAGCTGCTTAGAAACACAGCTTGAAGGGTGAATCCAGCCAGCATTAGAGTAAACATCCTCTTTGCTATGGCTCCCAAGAACATTTTATTTTTGACAAATATGAAAACCCAAGCCTTTTCAGCATGAGTCTGCAGAGTCCTTTAATAAGACACAGTGTTATCTGTCTTCGATAACTGGAATACAAATGTGCTCAGTTTATTCCTGGAATCTCCCCAGTACTCTCATGGAAACTGGGCCAGAACAGTCATATATTGGCAACAGAAAGATCTACTTCCTTTTGCTGAGTATGCCCTACCCCAACAGTTCCCTTCTGCACAATTCCTTCTTGTCTAATGTAGCTGTGCTTGTCCAGACTTTGAACTCCCAAAGGAGACACTGCAAGTCCACACAGCACAATGATTGACACACACAGACTGAGCAACTGCAAAGATGGTTCCATTAGCCATTGCTATGAGCCAATTACAAACTTGTATGACTGCATTGCTGCAATTGTGCCAATGGAGCATTATTTGACAGCCACCTCTCTCTCTCTCTCTCTCTCTCTCTCTCTCTCTCTCTCTGTGTGTGTGTGTGTGTGTGTGTGTGTGTGAAACCATGCCTGTAATTTTGGGTGGAGGAAGTGTATATGCATGAGCCATGTGCAAAGTTTAGTACAGGGGTGGTTAGGGACAAAACTGAAATGAAATGTGAATACCGTTAGAAGTAAAAAGGGTGTGTGGAAAAAGCATTTTCTCAGGAGATCAGGGATTAAAAAATAAATTCTTTTAAACCAACATTTTCCTTTACTTTCACTTCCTGTTTCCCTTACCTTGCTATATAAATGGGAAATTTCATTTACTGAGGGGCTCAGTTTTGTTTAGTCAGAAAGAAAGCAGGCAGCAATGGAATTACCACACCTTGTGAGGGCCCCTTTGCCCCTTCCAGAGAGAAGGAACAATCCAGTGACTGAGGAGATGGATCAGGTATCTGACTCTGAGCCCAATGCTGGTGATGAGGGACACCATGAACCCCACAGGAATCCCACAGCATCAAGGAATCCCACAGCATCAAGACCCGCAGAATCAGAGATGGGACCCCCCTCCCAGACCCAATGAACCATGTGCCTCCTACACTACCCTCCAGCTCACTGGCACAGGAGAGTTCATTGGGGGAGACAATGGTATGAAGGATAATCAGCCATCTTCTGGCCAGAGGCGTGACCCTTTGACAGCTCAGCTGGTAGCCCTCATGTCTTATCAGTGGATGAGTTAACCTATCACTGCCTGCTCTCTTCTCAATCTCTCTGAGAATGACAGAGAATGCCAGGTCACATGGGAGCATTTGCCACCATCTTTTTTGTGGCACAAGACGGGACTTGGCCCTGAGTCACATATTTTCCGGAGGAATCTGTTTAACGCTCCTTTGCTCTCTGGGAAAGAATGGAACAGAGTAGTTGACCGCCTCCTAAAATAATTTTTTCCATTCCTGCATGACCAAACTCATTACAGAGAGTGGGGGAATATAAACCCGTTTGGTTTATATGGAGTTAGGCTTCCATCTTCTCTGCATTTGCCTCTGTATCTCACTCAGTTCATGCATACGAAACCAATGATCAAATTCCCAGCCCCTTCACTGCAGAATACTTAGCAAAGAAAAGTACCTGGGCTTGGGCACTCGTTCATCAGGAACTGGTGTCCATATTGAATCTGGAGACTTCTGTTCTTTGAATCTCCCAGTAAATACATTGGCAATGTCAAGAATATCGTAAGCGCAGACAGCAGAGCCAGGGATGCTGCAATGTGACATTTCCAGAAATAGTTACTCATTCTGAAGTTATGCATTCTTTTTTTTTTCCATCTCAGAAACATGCTGCATAGAAGCCTTCCTGTCAAAGGCCATTCCGTTCTGAACCTTCCAACCTCTGGGTACTGACAATAAAAAATTGCCCCCATGCAGACATTTGAGATGCGCCACTGGGCAGCCTGCTCCTGTCAGTACGGCTTGCCTCCAAAAAGATTTTTTAATAAAACAGCATATTACATTAATTTCGAATTCCCTGAAAGATTAAATGACACAGTTCTGACAACTTGTGGTATGAAGAAATTACTGGGTTATCAAAATCACAGCACATTTTCTGGATGCAAACTGTGTACATTTGTAACACGTTTTTGATGTCAAATCTTCCAGGCCCTGCAAAATCTTTAGCTGCGCCCTAGAAACCATTCAGATGCCCAGAGTGGATACATTTTGCATACTGATGCACATCGCTCAACCCAAAAGTTCAGCAAAAAATACCTACCCATCCGTTGCGGTTCTGAAAAATCATTCGATTTTCCTGTATGTTTCTGGCTGAGTTCCTATGAGCAGGAATTTGCTTAACTTGGTCAACTATAAAGAGTTTGCAGAAGGAAATGCAGCTTTGCCTTACACCCACTAAAGTTTAAATTTGAATTTCCAGACTATTTACATGTAACCTAATAGTAGCAATCACTAAATATAATTACAGTCTTACACAAACACTTTTGGAAGGGCTTGGATGTTTCCCTTAGTCAATGACTTTCAGGTATGATTTATTCATTGGTCTGCCTTTGTTGTTTACACATGATCTACCGTAGTACATTTGTGTCTGACTTAAGCGATATGATTTCTGATCAGATAGCAAAGCACCATCTGGCTGAGTCATAATCCCAATTTAAGGTGGTGAGTTATTATCCTACACCCAACCATCGGAATTTGGCTTTTGGATGTGAAGCGATATAAAAGACGCTGCTACATGAGAAAGCTAAAACGGAATGCTAAGTAGATGGTTTGATTATCCAAAAGTGGAAATACACGGAATGAAAATTAGTGAAAAATGAAGGTGGCATTTTCTTATCTCAGGGTTGCTTGTATACATTCAGTCAAGTTTTGGGTTGCCGTATAAACTCATCGGCTGAGAAATAACTCATGACTGTGCTTTCCATTATTTGTGGAGCTGTATTAGAAAGACTTAATTATAACCCTACTCTATCATAGGGTGCTGCCTAAACTCAGACGTAAAACTTATTAGCGGAACAGTGGCTTTCTCTCAGTGAGAGTTAGTGACAGACCCACAACTGGCAAAACTGCAGTGCTTATAACTGTGCCTGCGTCGTGCCAGGTATATGCATAGCCGGATAGCTCAGTTAGTGAGAGCGTGGTGCTGATAATGCCAAGGTTGCAGGTTTGATCCCTGTATGGGACAGCTGCATATTCCTGCATTGTAGTGAGTTGGACTAGATGATTCTCAGGGTCCCTTCCAACTCTGCAATTCTATGATCAGAGAGCAAAAACAGTGTCACTCACTACAATGTGGTCCACTTCCACAATGCAGCATGCCAGCGGCCTAAGACTGCTTCACGTATTACTAAGAAGCAGGTTCACGCAGAACCTGCTTCCGGCTTGTGTTTATAGAACGGCTGTTAAGAATTAGGCAGCTCGGTCCAACTTCAGGAAAAGTGTCCGTACTGCTAAAGGACCAAAATTGATGTGGTCTGTTCCTGATTGTCAGTTAGATGAAGCTGCTTTAACTGAGGCAACCTAAGCAAATGTTGCAGCCAGAGAACATAGTATGGCCTCCTCTGGACAGCTTGAAGCAGCAGGTGTGCAGTCTCTCCTGGATTCAATGACAATGTGGCCTTGGTGGCTAGGAGTACCTACTTCCAGCTACATCTAGTGCGCAAACCACAATACCTCCTGGACAGAGACAACTTGGCCATGGTACTCCATGCTCTGGGAACCTCCACACTGGACTGCTGCAATGTGTTTTGGGTGGGGCTGCCCTTCAAAATGGTCTGGATGCTGCAAATGGTGCAGAGTGTAACAGCTAGAATGGGATTCAGAATGGCCCTAGGGACTCTTGCAATACCCTTCCTGAAACATCTGCTCTATCCATTTCCGAGCCCAATTCGTGCTGTCTTCATTAATGTATAAAGTCCTTTGGGCCCCAGATATCTGGAGCACTTCCTACCATATGTGCTAATTCGGGTATTATGATCAGTGGATGAAGCCTCGTTGGTAGTGCTACTCCCTCAGGGACTCGGGGAGCAGTGGCTTATGACAGGGTCTTCTCTGTGTTGGCCCTAGAACTACGAAACTCTCTTTCTAAAGGTGTGTGCCTGGCACTAACACTTTACATCTTTTGTCAGCTACTTAAGACCCACCTGTTTACTCTTTCCTTCGAAAGTGAGGTTTGTTGAACAAGACTTCCCTCCCAATCAACTATAACGGGACAACCTAAATTTTCTGGTTATGTTCTAGAACCCCACTCAAAAACAGCGGCAGGCTGGAAGCGCCCCAATAATAGCTGAAGGGAAAGGAAAACGGGCTGGTGGGGTGCCCTGAAGGAATAACAGAGCTAATGAAAGTTTACACTGTGAGCCAAGGACACAGATAGGAAAATGCAGGAGAAAGTTAGACTTCAACCTACTTAGGGTTCTTTTTTTTTTTAAAATGCTTCCTCCCCCCCACCCCCAGCCCCCTTTGGCTACACACATGTTATTCTCAACACTGATTTTCTTGCAAATAAAACGTGTTTACTTCTCGCGTTGGCTGTATTTTCAGTTCATGGCTGAATCATTCCCAAAGCAGCTGTTCTAATTTGGTTGTCAATAGTAGCTATTATGCCTCGCTGCCTTGCCCCTTCTGGTTTTTTTCGAGCAGCAGGAGGCCTGCCTTTGACAGTGCTGAGCTTAGCCTTTGACTCCAGGTAGCCAACGCAGAGCTTGAATGCATGAACTCAGGCTCTCCCTCTTCCATCAAATGTCCCTTCTAATAGAATAGCATGGGAAAGGAAACAGGCCCCAGTTGTCACAGGAGCAATTTTACTTTAATTAGCATATTTGCCAAAGTTTCCTGGAGACCTTAGCAACTGGAGATCTTAGCATGTTCCCATAAATTACTGAAAGTGTGTGGTAATATACCAGCACTTACAAATTCTTAACAGATGAGGTGAATGCTGTAAAAGTCTTTTATTAGCTGACCTAAAAAACTATGGGTGTCGGAATAATGGGCCCTGTTACTTTTATTTATGACTCGTATTGCAGCAGAAAGGAAAGGACTTCGCCATGCTCAGGCCATCTGCTGAGCTGGGTGCCTTACAAGGGAAAAGGAAGAGGCATCCATTCACAGAAAGGAAACTCAAATCTATCATGAGAGAGAATTATTCCTACTTGGCATGCAGGCACTCTTTATTTCCCTCTGAATCACAGGGAGTACAATCTGTTAGGGATCTGTCCTGTCGAAATGCTTTGGAGTTACTCAGCAGTGCTGTTCCGTTCTATTTCATGAGCCCTATTCATTTCAAAACAGGACTTGAGTAGAAGGCATTCCCCAATGCGTTTCTGAGGACGGTTTCACCCAGTCACAGCAGAAGCAAGCGAGTTAGGAATCCTCCGCTTAATCTCACCAAGGGCAAAACTGGAACATGCCTCCTGGTGCAAAATGTGTGGACTCCCGATGCAGCTCGTACAACGTGCACGAGCACAGATTGAGGAGGGCGTCTTTCCACACGTCAGGCATCAGGGAAAAGGGATACGGGAGTCACATATGCTTCGCTTCCACTCTTGCCACCTCTATTGATCCTGCTGATCAAGAGATGCTGCCATGAGTGGAAGCGTCATGCCAAAGTGGCTCAGTGAACAATGGGTGCTTGCTCACTAGAACCCTTTAGCTGTCCTTTCCCACTGGGCTGAATGAGCCTTACTAACTGAAACTCATCCAACACAACAGGACTAGTTGTCGGAAAGCCCTCTGAGAGTCATCTGCTGTGGGATGCAAGCAATTTTGTCTTCAAAAGGCTTTGCAAACAAGTCCTAGCGAGCTACTGTCAGTTCTACCGCCTCCTTCAGACCAGACTGTAAGAGGCCCCACACTACCCAGGAAAAGCTCTGCTGGACGGTATAGTGAGGATGCAATGGAGGCAGCAAAGTATGACTTCTTGGCTGCCTTTACTGCAACTAGATAGACTTGCATTCAACCAGATCTTTCCTCTCCACGCGTTTGAGCCGTCTCCTAGTTTGTTTCCTTGCCCTAAGCTCTGGAGTATACCAGAGAGCCAAGCAGGCGCCACAAAGTGGGAGAGGGCATTCAGGGGTGATCATGTCAACGGCCCAAGCCATTCAGTTTTACATAGTTTTAATTGCTTTTTAATGATTTCCCCCCCAAAAAAAATTCTTAGCGGTTTTCATTTTTCTATGTAAGCTGCTTTGAGTTCTGTCAGGGGAAAAGGTAGGGAATAATGATAATGATAATGATAATAATAATAATTTGCCCATGAGCACCCCATAATGCCTGGCCAAGCCAAGTCAGCATTCTAAATCCGGCCCACGGGCGGTCTGGGAATCTGTGTGTTTTTACATGAGTAGAATGTGTGCTTTTATTTCAAATGCATCTCTGGGTTATTTGTGGGGCATATAATAATAGTAATAAATTTTATTTATACCCCTGCCCTCCCCAGTCAAGACCGGGCTCAGGGTGGCTAACACCAGATATAAAACAATTTATTGAAATACAACTTAAAAACAAGATTAAAATACAACATTAAAATGCAGCCTCATTTCAGTAGAAACTCAAATCAGAAACTTTTTTGGGGATGAAAACGTCAAGTCTTCACCAAGGCCAGCTATCCAGACTGGTCCTACATGGGCCAGAAAAAAGCCAGGGAAGTCCCCAAATAGGAGTTCCATCACAGAAGGAGGGGGAGGGGATCAAGCTGATTCCAAGCCAAAGGCCAGCTGGAACAACTCTGTCTTACATAGGGATTTGTTCATTCCCCCCCCCAAAAAAAAATATAGTCCGGCCCCCCACAAGGTCTGAGGGACAGTGCACTGGCCCCCTGCTGAAAACGTTTGCTGACCCCTGGTATATGAGATTCAGTGGCACAGCTTGGGGGATCACATTTCACTAGTGCCCTGTGTGCCCTCCCTGCCTCTTGCACTCCATTCTAAATTATAGTTGTGGTATTCCTTACTATGCCCCCAAAGCTCTGCATCCAGTGCGACCAAAGCCGCCCAGCTCCCCTCAATCTGCCTCTGATGACACTTGCACTGATGCTCACTGCTCTTTCTCATGGCTTCTTTTAAAGTGGATCACGCAACTGCATGTACCAAAGTGCAACCTTTCCCACCCTGAAGGTGGCTTATGAGTGATTGCAGTGCAATGCTTTTCTAAAGAAATGTGTGAGTGCGCATGCTATTAAGCTTCCTTGAAAAAAGAGATATAGTAGAATCTCTCCTTACAACTGCCTCCACTCATGGACGTTCCAAGTTGCGACCATGGCAAACCTGGAAGTAACCGGCGGGTTTGCCGCTGTTCGTGCCTGTGCAGGAGCGGGCAACTGCCGCCCACACCTGTGCACAACGGCGCCTCTCCCAGCGACCGCTTCGCCATAAGGATGGGCCTCTGGAACAGATTGTGAGTAGAGGTTCCACTGTATTGGTAAAATCCATCAGCATTCGTCTGTCTGTCTGTGGAATGTACACAGTGGACAGGCCAGATTTAACCTCTAGCTGGATGCCTCTCTTTTTCCCCTTATCTACTTGGGATGGTTGAGGGACCCTACTGAATAGATGGCTGTCAGGAAACTGACATTGGAACAGAGTGGAGAGGCTAGGCTCCCCAATAATGCCGGAGAGGGAACCAGTACAGGGGTAGAGAGGACTTCCGCTGGGGAAGAAAGGCAAGGTGACACAAGGAAGAAAGAAGGTATTGAGAGCCTTTCGGAGGGGAGGCTCCGAGCCTCTTCTAGTGAAGTCAGTGAGGAGAGTGGAGGACCACCGATAGGCACGCCCACTCTGCGCAGAAGGCTGCCGCGCAGAGAGGCTAGAAGAAGGCTGTCCGTCAAGGAATTTTTATGCTGGAGGAAGTTTAGGAAACGCCCACTGACGGATTCTGCCAGCGACTGAAGCAGTCGTGCCCAGGGGGGGCTGCTCAGCCGGGGGGGGGGAGCAACCGCATCCAGCAGTTTGGAGCAGGCGGAGGTTACACACAAGCAACCCCAATTCCCATGATAATGGCACATGGCTTTGGTGGAGGGAGAGAAAGGGGAAGTCTGTATGTGCAATGTTGGATGTTGCCCTATAGCTTTTAAAATTGATGAGGGGCTCATGTTGCAGAAAAGGTAATGGCAAAGGCCCAGTCATGTAATGTAAGACACAAGCAGAAAAGAGTGGTGAAAGGACCAGTCAGATCACTGTGTGTGTCGCTGAACACTCAGTACCATAGAGTTGAAGGGACCCTGAGGTTCATCTAGTCTGCAGAAGGGCTAAGCTGGTCTACACCTCCAAAAATTGTACTGCAATTCTACCCCATGTTAAAAATGAGCACTTGGACAATTGACAAGACAATGGGAAAACATGGGAGTGTAATGGGAATGATATCCTTTGGATTCTCTAAAAACAACTGAGAAAATTATGCCAATTTTATGAAGCCGTCACAAAAATGCAAAAAGATGAGATAGACTTCTCAGACCTGGTTCACATGTAATTTGTTTAAAAAATATGGTTTCCATTATGTGAATGAGCCTCCACAATTTTCAGGCTCACATACTCCCCACTGGTCCTCTTTTATGGTCCAGGAGGAAGACATTGAATGCCCTTGATTTGGGTTTTCAGCAAACCACATTCCCCACAACATCAGAACTCAACAAACTATGGCTTGGTTAAACTTCTGTCAGTTGAACAACCAGAATCAATCCAGAATCTCTGAATCTAGCTTGCTGTCATCATTCATACTTTAATAAATCACAATTCCCAGAGTTTAGACATTACCAGAAACTGCAGTTAGTTAAAAATGAAAAACAGATGCTATCGGTTTCCTCCTGTAACATGTGAAAGAGGGGAAGGGTGGTAGCAGGAGGATTAAAACACATAGAACCTGTTAATATAGCAGGAAAATACTTTGCCATTGTGTCTGAACCAGGCTGCAGACTTTTCCCACTGATGAAATTTTGATAGTTAAGTGGTATATAAACAGCTTAAATAATTAAAAAGGCAAATACAATGGGAAACTATAGAGTACAACACTTTTTACAACTTGCTCTACTTTGCATTCACAACCACCCTTCCTAGCTTCCATAGTTCTGGCAGAAGACTCGAAAAGCTTGTGGGATTCAGGAGCAATTCAATTCAAAAACTTGCAAGCAAGAATGATACTAGTTAATTACCTGTTGTAGGGGGTGGAGAAGGTGGCCAGGACAATATTGCGACCATTGATATGGATAACATCTGTAACTGCCTGCAGTATGTTGAAATAGAAGTGTGAATCGCCAGGAACAGAGCAGTTCAGCCGTGCCTTCAGGAAGGAAGTCCATTGCTTTTCTAGCACTCGTTGGGATCCACCCATGTCATTCTTGCACACACGAGCTACTCTGGGGAAAACTACCTAGAGTTGGGGAAAGTGCGGGGAGGGGGAATAAAGAAACTGAACTATTTATTCATCAAAAGGACTTTGCTGAAGTTCTGTTTCTACCCACCTCCCTGTTTTATGTATATATATATAAAAAGACAGAAATGGCAACACTTGGCGCTTGGTTTGATCCCATGTTTTCCATAATCTGTGACAAATAGCAAACAGAAGAAAATTCGGCTTTGGAACTCTGTACTATGAAAGATAAGCCGGTGACATTTCATACACAGCCATAAATCCTTCAGGAGAACTGTTCTCAGCTTGTATAAAACTCATTTCTATGCAGACCACTCAGCTTTCTCTTTCGACAAACAAAAGCACATTCTACATCTGCGATCCACGAAGCCTAAACCACTAGCCTTCTCTATCCCAAGCATTTCTTTAAAGTATGCAAGCGTCATCAGGACTTTATTTATGTCTGTCTCCTTTTTAACCTTGCAAGCTTTCTAATACATTTATTGCGCTTTTTTATTTATATAAAATATATATTTCTTGTCAATAAGGCTTCCATTGTGCTTTTATGATATAGCAAGGCTGAAATTTCCTTCCCATTTACTTCTGCTGTTCTCCAAATGCAGCTGCTTCCTTGCTTTAAAGTCAGGCTTGTAATGATTATTTGGAGCTCTGAATTAAATCAATTTGCCATATGCTTTCCTGCTTAATGGGGAGGAGAAGAAGAAAAGCCCTGTGCCTCTTGTTGCCATCCGAAGCCAGAGTGTTTTATATCCAAGGCAGAGTGCAGTGCTGTATTCCAACCAACCTTTGGCAGCAGCAGCGGCAGCATCCTCTCAAAACAATGACCTTGCCATTATGATTTATAGCTCTCATTTCAAGGTCATTCCTAACTCACAATGGCCTACAATATATTTTTGCCCCTTACCTTCCCCATGCTGTGATACTCCACGGCTATTTCTCGAAAGAAGAAGTAGATATAGTTGCCATAATCCACTGCATGGACAAAGTAAGGCTCTGCAAGAAAGACGAAGCGTACAAATAAACAAGGAACTATGAGCAAAACACATCAATTTGGTGTGGGTTTTTAACTCCTGTTTAAGCAGGAAGACTATTCCCCTATAGCAGGCACGTCCAGCTCTCTGGAGACTGTGATCTACTCCCAGTATAATAAAACTGGCAGTGATCTACCCATTGTTATTGCCCAGAGTGGTTGAGCTTTTTTCTTGGCTGCCGATTGCTAAGGATCCTACAATCGACCAGGAACACTCCACGATCGACCAGTGGATCGTGACTGACCGGTTGGACATGTTAACGAATAGGAAGATGTGGGGTCCAAAGCCTTGGAGCAATTTAATAAAACCACAAAGCCAGACCAAACCAATCATGGATAACATTTTTTTGAAGTGACCGTAAGAAAGGAAACCGGAAAATTGCTGGGAATTTGATAACCGAACTCACATATTTACAAGATACCTTCCTCTCCAGTTCTTATATACAGTGGTACCCCCGCAAGACGAATGCCTCGCAAGACGGAAAACCCGCAAGACGAAAGGGTTTTCTGTTTTGGAGGCGCTTCGCAAGACGAATTTCCCTATGGGCTTGCATCGCAAGACGAAAGCCCATAGGGAAATGCTGGCGGTCGGGAGCAAAGACTTTTGCCCACAGCCGGCCTTCAGAAGAGGACCTCTTCTGAAGGCCGGCGGGGGGCAAAAGTCTTTGCTCCCCCCCGCCTGCCTTCCCCCCGCCTGCCTTCCCCCTGCCTGCCCCGGGCGATCTTAAAATGCTGGCGGGCGGGAGCGAAGCGTTCGCTGCCGACCCCCAGCATTTTAAAATCTCCCCGTGTCCCGGGAAGGTTTTAAAATGCTGGGGGTCGGGAACGAAGCGCTTGGGGCGGCAGCCTGCATCCCGAAGCAGGGGGTGAGCTGCGGAGCCCGCCCCCTGCTTGGGGGAGATGCCGGCAAGCCTTGCACGCAAGGCTTGGGGCGGCAGCCTGCATCCCGAAGCAGGGGGTGAGCTGCGGAGCCCGCCCCCTGCTTCAGGCAGATGTCGGCAAGCCTCGCATGCCCGGCGGGAGGTCCCGCTTAGCCCGCTGTTCCGAAGCGGGGAGGGGGGGCGGGAAGACCTGCCCCAGCCGCCCCACTTCGGAACGCTGTTCCGAAGCGGGGCGGGGGCGGGAACACCTTCTGAAGGCGGGCAGCGGGCGAAAGTATTTGTCCCCCCTGCCTGCCTTCCCAGGGGCTTTTAAATCGCCCCGGACAGCGGAGAAGTCCTCCGCTGTCCGGGGCGATTTTAAAATGCCGCCCGCCAGCATTTTAAGATCGCCCCAGACAGCGGAGAAGTCCTCCGCTGTCCCGGGGTTTTTTAAAATGCTGGGGGTGGGAAGAAAAGCCCTTGTCCCGTCCCCCCCAGCCTTCAGAAGAGGTCCGGGGACAGACTGTCCCCGGACCTGGTCTGAAGGCGGTTTCCCTAGGAACGCATTAATTGATTTTCAATGCATTCCTATGGGAAACCGTGCATCGCAAGACGAAAAAACCGCAAGACGAAGAGACTTGCGGAACGAATTAATTTCGTCTTGCGAGGCACCACTGTAAATGGAGAACTACTGAAGGTTCTGAAACAATGGTGCCCTTGGCTGATACCTGGGGCTTCAGGGCCCTATGTTGGTCCCCAAGCATTTTTCACAGCTCATTTCTCCTTTCCCAGGGTCTCATTGTTCCCCTCCCTTTTCCTCTGTCTTGAGGAAAAGAAGCCTGAAGGCAGGAAAAATCATGCCTAGCAATAAACTGGGGATACAAGTCTTCCATTTGCCATTTGCGTTAATTTACTCTGAATACAAAATTTGGGGAAGCAGCGGTATTTCTTCCACAGAGAATTAACAGCATTGCCTATAGTCACATGGAGAAGTAGTAAAATGCTTGCTAATTATAAAAAATACAATAATTTTCAAAGAAAGATTGGATATAACAGAATCATTTTCACACTGCTCTCTCTCTCCTTCCCCCTCCTCTTGCATTTCTGTCTACAAGCAAAAGCCCCCTTTTCACTATCTCAGAATGTGTCACCCATTCATAAGGCCATTGGAAAAGAATGAATGGCAACATTCTTAACAATGAGGCTATTTAGAACATACAAATTGCCTAATTCAGCAGCACCCATTCAGCACTTCATGACAATGAAATGGAAGTTCTGTTATTTTATTTTTATTGATGGATCTTAAGACCACAGAACAAATTCTTTACACCTCATAAAGCGTTGATAGTTACTTAGCCCAATTGGAGGGAAGGGCTGATGGCGCCACCACGGCTTCAAAATGCTCCTTACCTGCTCCGAATCTCTATCTTTTCCATAGCATGGTGAAATAGCCAGGCTTTAAAAAAGTAAATTGGATGCAACCTATTCTTGGTGGCTCTATCAATATCTAGCAACTCAGGGGGGTGGGGAGAGTGAAATAAATGTACCAGTAAAGAAGGGAATTTAGTGCCCTCTACCTGACAGAAGCCCTTGCTGAAATGAAGTACAACCGACGTGTGCTTTGAACATCTTTTATTTGTAACAATCACTAAAGGACTGGACTGCAAAACAGCGCAGTAAAATATAAAGCAAAACAACACAGCAAGGTCTGTCAGGAACCTAAGACTGTAATCAAAAGTGCTGCCCTTCCTCTCCCTGCTTCTGTTTACGTACCTTTTAACCATTTTGAATCATGTTTGACTGTCCGCAGAGTTGGGCTGTCTCCAAGGCTCCGGTAAATGACCGCATCTATTGCAAGGAAGTCTGTCACAGTGGCAGAATACAGTTTTCCCTCTTCAGAGGCGGAAATGAAAGAAGGAGGAGAGAGAGAGAGGCAGAGACAGAAAACAACATAGAGAAACAGAGTGAAAGAAGAGTTCATTTATCTTTCCTCGGGAATCATTGTAACAGGCTATCGAAAACAATCCAAAAAGGACCACGAGGGTCATCTAATTCAGCCCCCACAACCGTGAGATTCAAGAATCTCATGCTCTACCGACTGAGTCACTGCATAAAAGAATGTGGTATCTGACTGGACCTTTTGTGCAACCAACATGGCATTTTGAAATAATTTCCAGAAGAATACACTTTATATCCCCTGACATGTGTGTGTGTGTGTGTGTGTGTGTGTGTGTTCAAACAGATGTGCAATCAAACATAAAAAAGATAAAGGACCCCTGAAAGTTAAGTCCAGTCACAGATGACTCTGGGGTTGTGGCGCTCATCTCGCTTTCAGGTCGAGGGAGCCAGCGTTTGTCCACAGGCAGCTTTCTGGGTCATGTGGCCAGTATGACTAAACTGCTTCTAGTGCAACGGAACACTGTGACGGAAACCAGAGTGGACGGAAATGCCGTTTACCTTCCCGCCACTGTGGTACCTATTTATCTACTTGGACTGGCATCCTTTCAAACTAATAGGTTTGAAACATATTCAGACTTTATCAGGAGAAATAAATCATGCACTGCCGCAGTTCTGAAAAGAGGGCGCAGAAACATTTACAGATTTGCTCTGGTTAAAAAATAGTTTAGAAATGAAATGAAGGCTGAAATTGTTATGTACTGAAGTTCTCACCCTGGGCCAGCAGGGGGATACTGTAGATAGTTATGCAAATGAAGGATCGAAAAGTGACGTTCAGTGATTGGATAGTTTGTATGCAAATGAAGGATCGAAAAGTGACGTTCAGTGATTGGATAGTTTTAGAAAATGGCAACAGTTACATTGTTCTGGAGCTCTATATAAGCAGGCTGACTGAGCTCCTCAGCTTAGTTCTGTTCCAGCTTACAAATAAAGAGCTGCTTTGGAAGAATCGCTGTGTCGTCTGATATGTTCGCCCACAACTTAACAGAAATCCTAGCATGTAAGGCCCATTAGATGCAGTGGAACTTGCTCCAAAGTAAATGCACATATGATTACATTGAACAGGACTGCATGAACATGTGGCAATCGTACTGTTTTGGACACAGCCTCTGCAGGAAGAAGTATCAAGATATGTTCTACAACAATGCCACTAAAAAAATTACTGTCTACCAGCAACACCAATACTGTATGCAGGTAAGTAATCAAGAATCCAGATTGGGGTAAAAGTTGGATGATTTCAAATATTCAGGATTTTCTGTTTTGTGAATTAGCACAGGTTAGTCTATTATGCAATCGAGTACATTTTTAATAGGGAGTGGGGGAGATAGTAGTTAGACACCCTGCTTCTTCTGGAACTAGGCACCTGCTGGGGGGGAAACATCCCAAAGGTTTTCCCAGGTGGTTTCCACAATACTACTGCGTATTTTACAGCTAAATTTGAAATGGGATCATTGGGGTTCATGCTAACACAATTTCGGTAATGAGACAATTTAATCTAAAATCTATAAGGCACAAATTTCCAAAATGCCATTCTATAATCAATGGCCCAAATTAACCCCTCTAATAAGCACTCAATTTTTAAACTACTGCAAAAAGAAGAGTTAATTGCATTTCGTTGCATGCATAATAAATCATGATTAAACCCCCAGACTCCGGTTCAGTCCCCTCCCTTGCCACAGCTGGTAACAAAACATCAGGAAGCTGAATCACACCAGGTTTGTCCTTTTTTTCTCCTTTCTATTTTAGCCCACAAAGTGTGGAACCATACATAATGAACGGTTATTACTACAGTTCATGTGAAATCTTTTGTTTTATCATGGGCTTTCAGAAGGCAGGATGTGAAAAGATGTTCTGCCTCACCCTGACTTTGTGTTCTGTCAGAACACTATTTCCTATTTTTCAAATACCGAAAGAAAATAAGAAATTGTTCGTGTATGCAACATCAGCAACCCGGATTCTACTAGCCCCAAGATGGAAGGAAGACACGATACCAACAATAGAAGAATGGCAACTGAAAATGATGGACTATGCTGAAATGGCCAAACTCACAGAAAAGCTCAGAGACAATGATAATGAGAAATTTAAAAAAGAATGGCAAACATTTATTGTATATGTACAAAAATATTGTAAACAAGTAGAAATGTTGGCAGGCTTTGATTAAACACTTGCAAGTAGTTTAAAATGAGATAAAATCTATGAAAGGAAACCTGAATTGAAATACTAAAGTTTGATGGCACGTAGTTACAATATGAGGATAAGAAAATGAAGCAAAATGTTGAAGCTGAAATCGTAAAATAAAAAAAATATTTACATAAAAAGAACACTATTTCCTTTTATACATACAAGTGCAGATAATGCCTTGCAAAACAGAGAGGTCTGAATAGGTCACCATCCATTCATTAGTCCCAAGCTACGTGATACGTCGGAAGCTAATTATTTCCTCCTGACCTCTATTATAGGTGATTGTTCATAAACTCACCACCTTGGTATCTGAAGAAGTGTGCATGCACACGAAAGCTCATACCAATAACAAACTTAATTGGTCTCTAAAGGTGCTATTGAAGGATTTTTTAAATTTTGTTTCGACTATGGCAGACCAACATGGCTACCTACCTGTAACTACACCTTGTGGATGTGCATCATAACTGTACTAAAGTAAGCACAAAACTGTAATACAGTGTGTTATTTTTTCTGTTGCTTTATTACCTGCAAACAACGCAACGTTGGCATGCTTTGCATCATAAGGACACCTGGCCATTCCACTGAACTCATCTCCCAGAAACTCCAAAGTATCCATCTGAAAAACAAAATAGCAGAATCCCTTTAGAAGCAAATAAAACAAACTAAATGAACACTCGTGGAGTTCCTTTCTGAGTTCCTTTTCTTCCTTTATCTGCAGACTTTTTACTGTGTTTTAAGAACACAGCTAAATTATGGTATTAACCTACTTTTTCACAGTTTGCAATCATGTGGAGCACTGCTTGCATTTTTTTTTTCTGCAAAAGAGCCTCTTTTCCTCATACTATTTATAACCAGAATCATGCTTTTCTTTTCTTTTCTTTTTTGCAATTTCCCTTTCGGAAAGACATTTGATATTTTGGTTGGAGTCGGTGTCATGCATAAATCCTCTTTCTGCCTGTCAAGAATTAATCTGTGAAGTACTTGTAAATCTCAGCCTTAAGTGTAACCCTTGGGAAACTAATTCTCCATAGGGTAGCCGTAATTATACAAATAACCAGCTCAACACAAAGCAGAAGTTCAGCAGGTTTATAGCAGAAGCTACAGGGGAAAGTACAGAGCCTATAGGCCTAAGATTCATGTATCTCAGGATTACTCAGCAGTGACTTTTGTTTTATGTGGGTTCTTGGATCTACCTAGCAAATTCAATTTACTTCAAGCATAAGATACAGAGTTTGAAACGCTAGTGTGGATAATCAGCCATCTAAGCACCACCAGTCGCATCCAATCAACTCCCAGTCCCATGAATTGAGAGGCCTATTTCAAAGCAATGGGTGATTTGTCATCATTTGTTTCCTGTCTTGTATCTCCTCCTCTCTAGACCTTCTGAAGGGAATCAGTTGTGTTTATCCTAGGATGGAAAAGCGTTTAAAATAATTGTAAAAAGGAAAGGAGTTCTGCTTGGAGTACAATGTTCTGGGCCCATCTGCACTTTCGCTTCCAATGCCCAAGGGACGACAGTAGCATCAGGCCAGCGCACGTCAAGCGCTCTAACACTGCTGAGCCCAGGTGCTCCAATGACCTTCTGAAGGGCCCTGAGATGTTATTGAGTGCAGGCTTTCTGACAGCGCTGCAACAGGTGTGGAAACCAAACTGGGCCCATATATCATTGGGAATGAAACATCTGTAGAAATAATAAAAGAAGGCCATTTATATTCCCCACATGATTCCACAATATCTATATCTGTATTTGTGCAAGAAATATGGCTTCCCAGCTGGAAGACTCCTTGAGGTTTGTCTGTCACATTTATTACAGTGAGGACTAAAGCACAGTTTCCCAAACTATATCGCTGCATGACCCCCCAAATTCAAGAAAAATAACTGTCTCTCTACATGTAAGACAGAGACTTAAGCTTGTAGCCTTCTACTCTGTTCTTTGGTTTGCTGGAAGGAAGGAATGAGCATCTATGGAACCATGAAGTGCTTGAGAGTGTCAGAGCAATCAGGGTGTTGGGGGAATGTAGAGTTGCCACAATGATAAACTACAGATAATCAGCAATGTGGCAAGATGTGTATTGGTTTTGGAATTATAATTCCTACCCCAAGATACATTTTTAAGAGGATACAAAGGAGAAGCTTAAGTGTCTCCTCTGAATTCCCTACACATTCCTTTGATTCACACTGAGAGAACCTCAGGACTGAAGTTACATCAGCTTGATGTGGTACTGGAAGCCAAAGAATATTAGCTATATGTTGGGTATGGTAAATATGAAGTCAGCAAAGATGTTGTATGGTGAGATGTATGTTGTGGCAGAGTAGTCAGTATGAACTGCAGTATGCCATTTATCCAGATGAAAAAACCATCTTCCCAACAAGACCATTTTCAATCATCTCTTACAAGGGATGCATATTGCAGAAGACAGGGACTAGGTACACTTTGCATACCCAATAATCTGTACTCCATATGCCCATAAGAATCACAGCCTCTTGGAATGCAAAGAATCATACCTACTTAAGAGTTCTATCTTACTGCGGCTTGATAAGGGTACAACCCTTCCTCTTTTTACAGATTGGAGAACTGGACCAAAACCAACCTAATGGATTTCATTAGGGACAAATGTAAGGTTTGGCAGGAATAAGCAGCTGCACAAATATAAGATGGGGGACACCTGTCTTGCCAGTAGTACATGTGAAAAGGATCTAGGGGTCTTAATAGCTCATAAGCTTAACATGAGTCAACAGTGTGATGCAGCAGTGAAACACCAAATGCTATTCTAGGCTGCATCAACAGAAGAAGTGTGTCCTGATCAAAGAAACTCACAGCACTGCAGTATTCTGCCTTGGTCAGACCACACCTGGGATACTGTGTCCAGTGATGGGTACCACAGTTTAAGGAGGATAATGACAAGCTGGAATGTGTGTAGAGGAAGGCAACCATGATGACAAAGGGTTTGGCAACCAAGCCTGATGAGGAAGGATTGAGGGAGTTGGTAAATAGGAAACTGAGAGGACATATGATAGCCATCTTCAACTATCACATGGAAGATAGAGCAAGCTTGTTTTCTCCTGCTCTGGAGGCTACGACCCAAACCAATGGCTTCAAATTAGAACGGAGATTCCGACTAAACATCAGGAATAACTTTCTGATAGTCAGAGCTGTTGGGACAGTGGGACGGACTCCCTTGGAAGGGGGTGAAGTCTTTTTGGAAGTCTTTTTTTAGCAAGGCTGGATGGCCATCTGTCATGGATGCTTTAGTTGAGATTCCTGCATTGCAGTGGGTTGGACTAGATGACCCAAGGAATCCCTTCCACCTCTACAATTCTATGATTAAATTATTTAAGACAGATCACATCTAGGGTTCCTCTAGTGGGGAGATGGATGCAGTATCGAGTGCGTCAATGTTGCACTTTTAAAATCGTTTCCAAAGTATTGTGAATATACAATTTTAATGAACAGATTAAATGATTAAAAATGTTTTTAATTGACTGAAGTTATTTAACTGGGCTGTAGCCTCACATTTGCTCGCTAGATACCCACCCCCACACAATGTAGTATTTTCATTCGCTCCTCCATAAACCCCATGCATGCGGATTTGAACTATAGCAGTAATTGAGGATTTTATGAGGCACAGCTTAGATTTGTCAGCACACAAAGCTGGTGAAAGCTTTCACCGTTGCTAAGTTAACATGTCTGAAGCAAGCAGATGACATCCAAGATCCTACTATAAATCCTAGAGCTCTGGTTGCTACTATAGTTGTTCTTCTCTTCCATTTATAATAACCTAGCTATAGCAGCAAGAGTGTCAAGAACTCCTGCTCAAAGCGCTAGGCAGCCATTCTTTCTTTCAAAATAATCTGTTCTATCCTCCTCACCCCTCAATTTTTTTTGTCCTGTTCTCTGGTCATTCAACATTCTGTGATATCTGAGCAGGCCCAGGCCTCACTGAGTTGTTCTAGGGTTTTTTGTTGCCTTCAGTTTTTTCCTCTACAATCTTCTTCTATATCTGCAGATCTTGGGTTTCTGCAGAATGTGCCTTCATTCTTCTTTCTCAGCAGCCCTATAATCATGTTGGTGCTCACCAGCCAGGTTGGCTAATAGTATATATGAGTAAACCTTCTCTGCTCTCAGGAGAGGAGCCTTGCAAATAAGAGAAATTATAAGCACACTGTGCTTTTCACTGTGTCTCAGTTTCTAACAGCCAGATCTAAAGCAGCAAAAAAACATTTGCAATGACTGCAAAGAGGGTTCCTTCCAGGATTGAACACCTAGGAGCAAAATGATGAGTGAATGCAAAAGCTACGAATTGAATTTCTGCGCACCAAGAGTCACTGCAGTGCTCAGGTAAGAAGGGAAATGAACTTTGGTGCCAAAACTTGCTTTCTTCTGAGAAGATCTGAGTAGCTGAACAGCAGCAGCTGATCAGTGCTGACCACTTCACTCTTCGGTGAGCCAGTTTCCTGCTGTACCAACCTCTTCACTGCCTATATTCGCAACGGAGGGGCTGGGTATAACACCACAGCCAGGCTCCTACTTCCATATGCTTGAGATGGCTACAAATCCTTAGCTTCAGGCATCTCCTTTCAGGTCTGTCAGAGTTGAACATTTTAATTAACAACCACCGAGGGAATAACTTGACTGTACGAAGCGGTAAGATAGTCTTCCAAGTGAGTACAAAGTATTATCGGGCTTACGCAGCAATAAATACTGATTCAAGAGGATTGCGAAAGATACCTAAATTGCTTCAGGCGCACCTTAATTTCAGACAGGGATTAAACCTACATTCTGCAATCCAAAACTCTGTAGGGTTCTGATACACACATGGAGCTCCACGTGAGCGAAGGCTTTCCCATTCAATCTCAGGGAAGCAGCTGTGTGAGCAATGGATCTGTGTATGTCTAAAAGCTCTCAGCACAATAGCAAGTGGAAACCCAACTTCAGGATGAGGGAGGTCAAACTAGAGCAGATAAACTGAATAATCTCACAAGGCAGTCTTCTATTGCTTTACCTAGCCTGCAGCTCACCCTCCCTGGTGGGCGCCATTGGGGGCTGGCATTTCTCCATGTGCCGGGATCCAATATGGGAAGCACCAGTGGCTGTTTCCCAGGCAGCAAAGGAAGCCTCTGGGCTGCTTGGGTATTTGGTCCCGCCCGCTTGTCTAATCAGCGAATCACAAATGAGCATGGGCCACCAGGAGGCAGGCTTATATTACATAGGCACATGACTTGCTCTACAGCCACCATTTGTTAGATCTTATTCCACCCTCCCAGCCTTTATACACAGTGGTTACCTGGGGTACAGACACTTCAGGTTACAGACGCTTCAGGTTACAGACTGCTATCCCAGAAATAGTACCTCGGGTTAAGAACTTTGCTTCAGGATGAGAACAGAAATCATGCGGAGGCAGCGGGAGGCCCCATTAGCTAAAGTGGTACCTCAGGTTAAGAACAGTTTCAGGTTAAGAACGGACCTCTGGAACGAATTAAGTTCTTAACCCGAGGTACCACTGTATTGCTGTTGCGTGTTGTTCTCCTCAATCTTGCTATGGCATAGTCAATCGCCGTATTTGGGGCCAGGCTGGAATTTTCCCAGTTGGCAAATTGGCTCCAGCGCTCTGATTTTCACCAACCTCATAGCAATTGTCACAACTTTGGTGGTTCAGGAATCAGACAGGTGTAGTCTTGGTTGGAGAGGAGGTTACAGCCTCTGCCTGGCCCCTCTGAAGTGGCGTATCCTGGTAAGGGGGAAATTACCCCTTGATGTAGGTCAAGGATTCCTTCATTTCCGGTTGACCCCAAAACTCAAGTTTTTCTGGCAGGCTGGCCGGCCGGAAGGGGTGTGATCTACCCAGTGCCTATGCCAAACCTCTTACATCCGTTGTCAATAAAGTTGTGGCCTGATTTCACCCAAATATTGGTTGTCATGTCTTTTATTCTTGGTATTGGGGAAGACCAAAAACTAGGAGGGATGCCTTGTCACACAAAAAAATGCTGAATGCATTTTAGTCAAATGTAGTTCTGCTGATACCAATAGATTTCAAGCCATTATAGTAATTTATGGTAAAATCTTTCCAGTCATTAATGCATTCTTTAAAAATGCAATGCATACCTTATAATTTCTGCAGGAGGGACTGAAGGCATTTGTCCCACAAATAAATAATGTATCATCATCTCTTTTTAGAAGAACCTTAATAAAATTATGACATTCATCCTGTAAAAAATAAGAAGAGCACAAATATTATTTCAGCAAACACATTGCAAATATTCTTCTTAACACTTTCAGGTTTCCTTGCAAAATGGCTACAACAGTTAAATAAAAATATCTGTTTGACCAGTACAAACGGGCTTAACCAAACGATTGTTTAACCAAACAAATTGGCTCTTAGGACCTGAGGCCATCATATTGCTCCTCTTTGCTGATGTTCATTAGATGGAGTGAATCTTAATGCTAGTCTTTGATTCAAGAATAGGACCTCGGTACTTCACTTTCCTACACTATGGTAAATGACACTGCTATTAAGTATCAGCTTAGTAAAGAGAGCTCAGGATGTAATGGAAAAAATGGAGCCAACTATATTTCATTTAGGTTTATCCACAGTTAATCATATCTTGCATTACTATAACATTTGTCTAGGATCATTTCTGCCTCCCTATGCCCAGAAAAAGGCCACATATATTAGACACACTATTATGCCAGCAACCAATGGAAATTGGATAGTTGTGCTTAGCTCCTCAGTATAGCATTGAATGATGTCCTTGCTGAATCCCAATCCCAGTGCTCCTAAGCATTTTACGATGTTGCTGTGTCTGCTGTCATAATGTTTCATCACATTAGAAGCAAACTATTTTTGCAAATTAAAGTCTTCAATAAGCTGATGGGCGGGGTGTGTGTGTGTGGAAGCAATTACTAGCTGAATGGCATGATCCACATCACAGAGAGTGGTCTGAGATAGCAGTCAAGAAACTAAACAAAACTGGCAGCTGCCAGAGAAATGAAAATTGCCTACCTTATGTTTTCCCTTCATTCTGCATGTGTCTACATCGAGCTGCCTGGATTTCCACGTCAATTTCTGCAAGGATCAAGGAAGAAATCAATTAAGAGCCCAGAGGTTGTTGTGTTTGATTTCAAAAGTAAGAGTTCCCTAAGGAAAACTACTTCTCAATATAAGCTTATTGAAAGCTTTCTGCACTTTGACTATGGTTAATTTACCATAACAATGGAACACCACAGATGCAGAACGCTTGCAAAGCTTTGAATGGTACCTGCCAAACTGAAAACACCTCACTGAAAACAAGCAAATTTGGTGAGAGGAAAACATTAACAAATGGTTACATATTATTGTTTTCCTTGTTAATATAGACTATTTACATATATAAGTATTTGTGTGTGTGAAAATCTGTGTTTTATTTGCAATAAATGTGTGTACATCTAAAAAAATCTGTTTTATTTGTAATAAAATAAAATTGGTTACACATTTGACTGTTGCCTTGTCTTCTAATTTTGAACTTTTTAGTCACAGTAACATTTGCAATGTTTACATATATTAGGGTTGCCATGTTTTAAAAAGTGAAAATCCGGACATTTTAACCGATTTTAGATAATTCTGCCCGAACGCCATTTCCAAAGGGCAAATCCCAGGAAATTCTAGACATATGGCAGCCCTAAAATAAACATATCCAGACTTTCACCAATGATCATTGGGTGGGTTACATAAAAGATATTGCTATATAAAACAGAAGATGAACTTACAACTTCGATTAAAATGTCAATTAAAATCAAACCAGCAGCAATAAACAGGAGGGACAACCTTCACTTATCTCAGTCCATCTTCTACAAATGCCTAAGCTGTGACTCTACCGCATTTTAAACCAAAGATGGACTCTGGCATTCTACCTGAACCCACGACAGAGAAACAATGAGATCTGATTCAAGCAACCTGCCTTACTCAAAACTGGCTCACAAACTGGGAGGGTTCTCTCTCTCAGTGGAAGAGTCCATGCTTTGTGGGTGGAAGATCCCACATTGCCATGTAGGGCTGGGACAGACTTCTGTTTTAAAACTCTAAATAGCTGCTAAATAGTGAGTACAAACAATACTCAGCTGGATTGATCAATGGTGTGTGCTGGTATAAGATAGCTTCCTATGTTCCTGTCGAGCTTCAGAAGCTTTTACTTGCAAAAACCATTCTCTTTGAACTCCTCTGGCTGAAAACAAATGTCAACCTCGCTTATTTGTTGCTCTATAAACTAGATTTTGGCTAATAAGCAGACCCGTTTTAAATTACATGCACTCAAAGGGGAGGGAAATGTTGATAACTGGAGCCACTGAAAGATATACTGTCTGGGTACCTTAAATCACATAATGCATGTCTTAAAATACCAACAGTTATGCAAATATTGCGGACAATATTTCCACCTAACATATAGCTCTGTTACTCAGTTGTGAAGTATCTTTATAAAGCAAAACGTGTTTTTTTCACTGAAGTTGCATCACCATTTTCCCAACTGCTTCTCAGGTCTGTTAGTTTAGCCTGTAATTTTAGCTCTACTCTTGAACATGATGTTAGTCATCATTCCCAGGGTGCCAGATGCACACAAAGAAGTGAGACAAGCCTTTTTCTCCCAACTCTGATACCTACGTACAGCTCTTTCTTATCACACGTCACTTATGGCCTACTTAACGAGGAACAGGAAAAACACTTCAATTTCCATCTTAATTTACCTTGGGTACAATGTAGATGTCCTTATAAGCCAATTAGGAAAAAACCCTCTATGTTTTGCTTGGTATATATCTGCTTGATTATATACATTATAAAATGAAGTAGTAATAATAAATAAATAAACTTTACAAAAAATCTGCTTGATTGCAGATCCTCCAAGTGCCTGTTTTACAGGGACAGTCCCAGATTTACAGATGTCATCCTGGTTTCTGATTTGATCCCAGAATGTTATAACCTTCCTTAGAACCTCCTTATTTTTATTGGGGAAATGTTGAAAGGTATGGTAAGGTAAAGGTAAAGGTACCCCTGCCCGTATGGGCCAGTCTTGACAGACTCTGGGGTTGTGCGCCCATCTCACTTAAGAGGCCAGGGGCCAGCGCTGTCCGGAGACACTTCCGGGTCACGTGGCCAGCGTGACAAAGCTGCATCTGGCGAGCCAGCACAGCACACGGAAACGCCGTTTACCTTCCCGCTAGTAAGCGGTCCCTATTTATCTACTTGCACCCGGGGGTGCTTTCGAACTGCTAGGTTGGCAGGCGCTGGGACCGAGCAACGGGAGCGCACCCTGCCGCGGGGATTCGAACCGCCGACCTTTCGATCGGCAAGCCCTAGGCGCTGAGGCTTTTACCCACAGCGCCACCCGCGTCCCCCGAAAGGTATGGTAGGACATCCCTATTTTCATCAGAGAAATGCTGGAGGTTATGGAATTATGTGACCCACCAAGCCAAGGAGATACGTAACTATACAACCTTTAGAAGACCTCTGAAGGCAGCCCAGTATAGGGAAGATTGTTTGCTTGTTTTTAAAAAGTTTAATATTTTATTATGTTTTTATATATGTTGGAAGCCTCCCAGAGTGACTGGGACAACCCAGTCAGATGGGCAGAGTATAAAATAATAAAGTAATCATCAAATAGGACGTCCCTATTTTCACTGGGTAAATGTTGGAGGGCATGTGATTGGACATAAAACCATATTCATTAAATATGGTAAATTCATTAAATAGGTAAGCAGAGTTTGCTTATTAAAAGGGTCTTATAGCCAATTACTATGGTATTAGCTGTTCAACAAAGCTTCAGGATCCAAGTAAGACATTTGATGGACATTACAATGCAGATTACTTATCATCTCAGCTAAGCCACTTATCAGAAGTTCACTGGGGACATGGCAGATCTCCCAGCTTCCCTCTATGTGATTAATATGCACCATCCACCTTGATCAGTGCAATTTTAAGAGCAATGTTGGAAAGAAGCGGAGCTAAGTTCCTTTTCTAATTTATCCCCCCGTTTCTTCCCGTGTCCTTGGTGGGAGAATGACAGAATGCTACTTACTTTGCTAAAATAAATTTCTTCTGTATGTGATGCATCCATATCAACAGTATAAATATGGTCCCTGTAAACAAAGGGGAAAGAATGAATGCCAAAATAAACTCAGACATTGTCACAAAAAGAGTCCTTTGCAACCAGATAAATCATTGCCCGTATTTGGGGGTGGGGGGGACAGGACCCCCAAAGAAAGCTAGGAGATACACCTTCTGATTCATATGTTTTATGAAGGAAAGGAAACTTAAAGGTCATCAACTCAACATGAACAGCTGTTTCACTTATATATTTTGCGAATTAGAATGGCGACTCCCACAATCACAACAAGGATGCTGCTGAAAAAAGGGACATTTATATGAAAACAAGGAGCTGACTATCATGTGAAATGACTGGGAGTTTACTTCTCATACTGGAAACAGGGTGTTCAGATGAACCTTATTCTGTAATTCTAAGTATAGGTCTGTTCCTCCTGGCTAGCCTCGCAAGCCCATTTTTGCATGCTTCTCCAGCTGGTGGACCTTGGGGGGTTCTAGTGAAAAACAAACTAAACAAAGACCTGAAATCCCCATATCCCTATGCTGAGCATAACAGGAGCTTGTAAGCTTGTGGGCCTCAGATTCACAAGTGATGGCTATGATTATTCTAATAGATACACAGCCCACGAGGATCTTAGAATTTAGTGAAAAATAACCCTTGTGTATGAAGGGCTTGAAGGGGAGCGGGTGGCGCTGCGGGTTAAACCACAGAGCCTAGGGCTTGCCGATCAGAAGGTCGACAGTTTGAATCCCTGCAACGGGGTGAGCTCCTGTTGTTCGGTCCCTGCTCCTGCCAACCTAGCAGTTTGAAAGCACGTCAAAGTGCAAGTAGATAAACAGGTACCGCTCCAGTGGGAAGGTAAATAGCCTTTCCGTGCGCTGCTCTAGTTCGCCAGAAGTGGCTTAGTCATGCTGGCCACATGACCCGGAAGCTGTACGTCGGCTCCCTTGGCCAATAAAGAGAGATGAGTGCCGCAACCCCAGAGTCGGCCATGACTGGACCTAATGGTCAGGGGTCCATTTACCTTTACTATGAAGGGCTTTGGACAGAATACCACGTCCAGTGCTATTTATCTAGAAAAAGAGGTGTCGGAACTCACCATGAACACCTCCCTTGTTCTCTTAGAATGACAATGGTGGCCACCTGAGAGGAGCCAAAACTGAGTTCTGTGAGTTCTGGCTGAAAAAAAAGCCAACCCCAAATATCCCCAAATAAGTTTTGTTCAGGTGTGTTCTTTTATATTTCCTTGTTTAGCTGATTGAACATCTTTTGTCAGGTTCTCAGGATACCATATGGATTTTAGGGATACCATTTAAGATTTTAAGGCGGCTAAGCTTTCTTCATTGTTTCAAGGCTATTTTCCCAACCACAGCAAAGATGTTTTGACAGAAAGTATGAAGGGAAACGGTTTGACAATAACCACACAGTTCCCAAAAGCCCTGTTAATTTCGCTGCACTTGATGACCAAATTGAGTTTCAGCATTTACCCTCTGGCAGAGAGAGGACAACATTGCTTTACCTAAGTTGCTTGTGTTCATTCTTGTTTTGCTGAGAACTAGGTTCTTAAAAAAAATAAATCTGCCAGTTTCTCCTTGGAAACACAGAATAGGGCCAAGAAGTGCAAGTGAGATATTTCTACACATTCCCCTTCTGTGCTCAACGGACTACAAGGGCATTTTCAACTTGGAGATAGGAAAGCAAAACACTCAGTCTAATCAAACCTTGAAGCATCTGCTCTGAATTGGGAGCAAAGAATAGGGCAGTTGGAGACATTTTTTTTAAAAAAAATAGCCATAATTTCATTTCTCCTTCTACCCCTTTAACATAACCTTCTCTCTATTTCCCAACCCCCTTCTCCACTACAGGAAGAATTGCTGTTGAAATTAAATGATCTTCTGCTTTTAAAGGACCTGCGGAAACCTGCTGAGAGTAGTACACACACACAGAACTTCCATTTTTGAAATCTCTGCTGTCAAGATTTGCTTAGTTTTAACAGACTGGGAGGGAAACAAGGTTAGCCTCTAACTAAAGCAGACACAGAACCCTCGCCGCCGCAAAGAATAATAAGCAAAATTCTTCCCACGTGGGAGAATAGGGGCAGTATTGTTAACAGAACCAGGCTTTCATGATTTTGCTGCCTGCCACTGCACCAGAGGCAGTTTGCTTTGCAAGATGCCAAACCGTGGAAGGAGTTTGTGTATGTGTTTCTTTTCAGACATTCCATCTTCAGTAGAACATGCCATTTATTTATAAGGTAGCTTTAATGCGCCGGCTTGTTATTTGCTTGACTTCATTGAGGGAGCTGCGATTGGAGGTCAATACCAGAGCAGAATTGCCTATTTGTTTGATTTCAGCTTCATGGGTGACACAGCAGCGTGGCTTTTCCCTCCCCGCCCAATAGATTTTTCACAATTGTGCTGCTATGCAAAAGCAGGCCGAAAATAAATTAAAAATAAATAAATCTGAATTGTAAATGAACAAGCGATTATTATGCACTGGCAACGTTTCAGAAATGTTCCACTTGCCCTCTTTTAGCACAGCTCTGTATATGTTAATTGCCAGCAAAAATGAAAGCAGAAAGATTTCAAAACAGGCTTGGGTTGCTAAGCTCTATTCTAACTCTGGCTCCTTCTAATGACTTAGTGACTGGTTTGCCAATCAACCCTTGGAGAAAGCAGAGGCCAACTCCTGGAGCAATCTGAATGTACAAAAGCAGATTTCCAGATAACTCGGAACCATTTCCATATGTGTTATTTAAACCACAGCTGCTCACACAATGGCAAATATTGAAAGAACTGTCAAGTACTAGTTAGGCTTTGCTAAACCGCTAACAATAAGTGACTTTGCTGTTCTATTTTCCCTGCTGCCACCTAGCGCCTCCCCCCTTCCCCAAACTCCTACTTGGAGGATTTGTATAGCTCTTGCTAATTAAGTTATTCTTTACACAAATAGACAATCCTAGCACTTCCGTTTTTCCCCACCTCCAGCACTGCAGATGGTTACCATGGCGCAACTGGGTAAGGGGAAGGAAGTTAAATATTGCTGGTGCCAACTGACCCTCGGCCACCAACTGCAGCCTTTATGTGTGGCATAATTGCAAAGGGTTCGTTCAGGTGTGTGCAAAAAAAAAATCAAATAAAAAAAAATCCTCAAATACCTGTGAGGAATGACCCAAAAGTGTAACGGGAGAGGGTCAAGTGCCATATGCAATCATGTATTTAATCTAACACCTTTGTTTTTATCCCCTTATGTGTTTTTCAAGCATACTGTATTTTTGTGCTTGATGCTTTGTTATGTTTTTAACGTGTGTTGGAAGCCACCCAGGGTGGCTGGGGCAACTTTTAGCCTTACGTGGTGTGCAAGTAGAAAGAGGGCAGGATCCAAATATTTGGGTTGCCTCCAACACTGTTATTCCGCTTGTGAAATAAGACTTCTGTTGACGCAATGTAACTTCACCCCCCTCTTCCCTGAACCAATCTTCCCAGAGGGTTTGGAGGTTCGGGGGCAGGGCTGGCCCAAGACATTTTTGGCATCTGAGGCGAACCACAAAATGGTGCCTCCCACCGTTCAGGAAAGAAGGAGCGAATGAAGAGTTAAACCAGGAACAGAAGAAAGGGGGTGGTAGGGGTAGTGATCAAATCAACCTTCCCAGACGGTTGAACTGGAAATCAAAGGCCATCGTGGGGTGGGTGGGTGTGCTCTGAATAACACCAGGTAGGTGCAAAGCCTTAGGAGACCCCAGAGGGCTGCCTCCATCATTTCCTCCATAAGGGTGGGAGGAGACCAGCAGTGTCTCCTATTCTCGAGAGGACTGCTATGAAGATAACATTGGGGGAGGGCTGCTGAGGAGCACTGTGGCAGCAGCAGAACCTGATGTGTTCTTTGGAAGACAGATCTTGCCACCTGAGGCAGTTGCCTCACATTGCCTCATGGTTAGGTCAGTCCTGTTTGAGGAGGTAGATGAGAGGAAGGGGAAGCCACACTGTCTGAGTGGACCTCTACACTTGCAAAGATGGATACAACCCTTTGATTTAACACACACACCCCCAAGTCACAGGAGGAGCGGGAGCAGTAAAGAAACCACTCCTTTTGTATAGGTATGAAAAAAAATGTTGTCAAATGATTCAGACTTTGCTTGTCCCTCCTCATCCTGCTCTCTTCAACGGCTGCCTCACATCACCATGCCAATCAAACATCCCTGCTTGGTGAATTAAGAGATACAAAGCATACAGAATATATAGAGACTGTTGCTTGGCCCTCGAGAGTTCAGCTCTTAATAGCTGTATATAAGGCTAACCATCCAAGGCCTTTTGCAGCTGACAATTTGATGACGTCAAGTGCTCCAAGGAATCACTGGCACTTTAAAAGAGCCCATGTGGGAACTATTAGTACTTCTTACCAGCTCAGAGAAAGACACACTAACTGAAATTTCTTTGAGCTAATAGTGGGTGTAAGAGCCTCTCCAGATTTTATTCTTAGCTCTTTAATGGTGCTAGTCCCAGTCCTGCAACAGCAGCACAATGTATCTTCCACGTATGGGGAGGTAGCCTTACTGTGAAGGTACAACACCTTTGTTTTGCATGAAACAGCAAGGCATGGATTTGGAGGAAACTGGAGCCTCAGCTACCGCTTGACATGTTTTTAAGTGTTATCATCATTTAGTAGGAGAATTATCTGCTTTCCATGCAGAGTCCTTAGTTTTTTTACCTGCCTGCCTGTCCAAAGCTGACTTTGAGGATGGAGGGCAAGGGAGAGGAGCTGGGGCCACCAGCCGCCTATTGCAATGGGTGGGGAGCAAGGTCCCAGTGGCGTGGTGCATGCTGGGAGCCCACACAAACCTGGAAACAGCTCTAAGTGATGCACGTACAAATATGCCATTTTGCTCTATGTAAAGATCTGGAATGCAATGCACTCCCCACTGATTTATTGATTAATTCCCACTGATTACAGTGGTGTGGATTGTGCCTCGGCCCCTACTTTGTTCAGTGTCCTTCCTATAATTAAATGGAGTTCATAACCGCCCAAGTAAAACCTCCATTTGTACGGGGAAGGGCTGTGGTTCAATGACAATGAGCATCTGTGTCACATACAGAAGAGGTTCAAAGCTCAATCCCCAGTATATTCAGACAGGCCTGGACTGACAGTCTGTGTAGACAATGCAAGCTTGGGTGAACTAATGGTCTGACTTGGTGTAAGGCAGGTTCCTGTGTTCCTATCCCAGCATCCCCTTCTTCTTTTGAACATTGAACAATGAACATGGCATACTTGCGATTTAAACAACAACAACCAACCAACCAACTAACCAACCAACCACTTTTATCTGAAATCCAAGAATTAGCTCCCAAGTAAACACGGAGTACTTCTGAGATGCCACAACAAATGTTAGTCATTTGTTTTTATTGTTTTTAGGTAATTGGGTACAAATGTATACTTAACATCGCTATATTTAGACAACTGGGGGGGGGGACAACACTGTGGAAAGGAACATCTGATATTGTAGCTCAGGGATCTATGCCAAGAAGAAACTCAATTAATGCATTCACAAAGCTGCTTGATAAACACCTCTGACTGGATTCATATTTGCCACAGTGCTTGGGGTTACACCACAACTGCCGAAGGAGATGCAGAGCTGTAGGTACAAATTTTCATTCACACTAATTATTATTTTAGGGAGTGGTACACATCGTGCTCCTTTGGGGTTGTTTGTCAGACCTTTGGTCCCCACCCTGAACTCAGCTCTCACCTGTGGCTCCTAGTGAGCTCAGAGTTGCCAGAAACAGTATTCTTCAGCCATCAAGTAGCACAACAAACATAAATGTTTTCAACTTCCTCCTCAAAGCAAATAATGATGGCAATAGACACCTCACAAAGACCACTTAAAAGGTGGTCATGGGTCAACACCAACTGGGAAGCCCCTGACCTTAGCGCCAGATCATAGGATCTGAGATGGTTGGTGCTGGGAAAGACATCTCTTTTAGGATCTTGGGTTCCAAGCCATTTAGGGCTTTTTATGGCAGTGCTAACACCTGGCAACCACCAGTGCTTTTGGGACCAGCAACACGTGGTCCTATCAGGCTGCCCCACTTACCAACTTAGCAGCTGTACTAGCTGCAGTCTCTGGACTATCTCCAAGGACAGCTCCATGTAGAACACATTACAGAAGTCAAAGTGGGAGATCACTAGAACATAGAACTACTGAGGCCAAGCTATCCCAGTCTAGAAATGGCCTTAGCTGGCAAACCAGCCTAAGCTGGGCAAAAGTACTGCTAGCCACAGAAACCTGGAATCCCAGAGTATTCCCACACTATGACCTGTTCCTTCAGGAGGAGTGCAATCCCTCTCAGAACAGGTTGTATACCTAATTCCTTGGCACGGGAATCACCCATTTGCAGCACTTCCATTTTATTGGGTTTCAGACTCAGTTAATTGGTCCCCATCCAGTTCATCACTGGCCACAGACACCTATGCAGCATCTTCATGGCCTCTCCTGATGTCAATGGAGTGGGGAGATAGAGCTGGGTATCAACATAAAGATTAAAGGGACCCTTGACCATTAGGTCCAGTCGTGGCCGACTCTGGGGTTGCGGCGCTCATCTCGCTTTATTGGCCAAGGGAGCCGGCGTACAGCTTCCGGGTCATGCGGCCAGCATGACTAAGCCACTTCTGGCAAACCAGAGCAGCGCACGGAAACACTGTTTACCTTCCCACCAGAGTGGTACCTATTTATCTACTTGCACTTTGATGTGCTTTCGAAGTGCTAGGTTGGCAGAAGCAAGGACCGAGCAACGGGAGCTCACCCCGTTGCGAGGATTCGAACCACCAACCTTCTGATTGGCAAGTCCTAGGCTCTGTGGTTTAACCCACAGCGCCACCCGCGTCCCTGGGTATCAACGTACTATGTACCAAATGCCCAGATGACAGTTCCCAATATAGATATATAGCATAGGAGATGCTTATGGGGCCTTGTGGAGCCCCACAGCTCAAAAGCCAAGAGCCAAGGAACAATCTCCTTGTACTATTTCCTGGTAGTGACTCTGCATTATGAATAAATTATTCACTTTCCAGGTTTTCACCTAAATATAAAAGTGATGTAGGCTCTGAATTTTTACTTGTCACACAGATTCCTAGCTCAGCAAGAAACTTTTAAGTGACATTTGGAATAAAACAGTTTTTGCATATCTTTGGAGCAGAGAAAGATAACATTGTAATGCAATGAAGGCTCCAGATTTTGGAAGGCCTGTGGACATCATAGTCTCTGTGGGGTTCCCTCCCTGAGTAGACCCACATCATCCTTGCCATTATCATCACTATCCATTTTCAAGACTTCTCCTGATAAACTGTGGCATAACAGCATGTTGTGAAGATAAAATGGAGAGGGGAACAGCTGTGTATGCCAGCACGAGCTCCTTGGAGGAAAATGGGATAAGAATGTGCAAATAAACACACACACACAAATTTGCAGGCCTTGACCATGACAACATCCTTGAAGCATTTCACTGTTCACTTACTGAAGTTGTGGGCTACGCCTATAGTTTCTAACAGGACTGCTCTGGAGTAACTAATTTGCTAATTGCATCTGAAATTGCCACCTGACTAATTGTAAGTTGGCCCAACTAGTTTCTAATTAGAAAGCCCTTTTAAATTTTTGTGTAATCAAGTATGCATTAACATATCCCAACGGGCAAATGTTTAGCATTCTTAAGGAGGTAGCAACCTTCATTGCAATCCACCAATGCCAGTTCACATGACTTTGGGGTATGTATTGGCTGCTAAAAACCCTTTTGAAATCATCTGCCTCCCTTGACCATGGTAAACTGGTCACAGGAGGGAAATATGCATAGGGTGTTTCCATGCAACCCCAGTGCGGATTAGCCATGAAATGCTACACATATGCTGAGAAGCCTATGCCCAAGCAGCTCCCCTTGGGCAGAAAGCCAATGAACACAGCTATTTGAAGTGCTTGCCACTCGTCCAGATGGTCACGTAAACTAGACCTTATGCAGGCACTCAAGAATTTGAGAGAACACTTCGGGCCAACTCACACAACTCAACTGGTACACAGAGCAAGAGTGCTAATAAGTTGATACTTTCAAAAATTGGCTCCTACTAAAGCAAGATGCCCCCGTTGGACTTTGTGCTGCTAAATAAGACCTTGCTCTTAATTGTGACTTTTCTACTAAGAGCTTTAAAACTTTGCTCACTGCTGCTTCCAAAAAGACCACAAAGAAGGAAGCTGGCTCAGCAGCTAGGTCCCATAATAATAATTAACATTAAACTTGCCAAATCCTTTGAAAGAAATGAAGTGTAAACACATCTTTCCCCCTCCATTCTCTCTCCTGGTCTCTTTGCTTTACCATAAAATATGCTTAGTATCCCAATGACATTAAATTTTAATTCTGCTTCAAATATGTACTCATGCAACATGGATTATTCTTGTTTATTCTCCAAAACAGGCAATTAGTTGTGTACTTTAAATCAAAAACTCTTTTAAAAACATAATGATTCCAACATTCCCAAGTGCGGAGCAGCTACTGTATATTATGAATTGCTCTGGTAAAAAATGCTGAAGGCATCAGCCAGCAGGACTTTACAGCAGTAAGCCCTAACTGGACATATAAGACAACTCTTGGAATACAAATAAATTCCACCTGGGGTACCAAGCCCTTGAGGCTGCGTTTTTTTAAAAAAAGCCAAAGGGAAACGTTGAGGAGAGATGGAGGCCAGCCAAGTCATTTGTTGCCTCCCACATAACTGCCTTTTTCATTGTTGTTGAAGGAACCTTCTTTCCCTATGAAGACTATGGTTCATCTATTGATGACTTCCATGTTTCTAAGTGCTACAAAGTTCAATTTAAATATAGATATATTTAGTCAGAAACTATTTTCTTTTGCTTGCCCCCTACCCATTAGACCATGCACCAATAATAATGGGTCTATTGCTCAAGGCTGGGCTCCATCAATATGAATGGCTTATCTTTCAGAATGTATGGAGATCCCTGCTGGTTCAGACCAAAGACCATGCTGTTCCCACAGAGGCCAACCAGGTCCCTATCAGGAGCCCACAAGCAAGACACGGACACAGTAGCCCTTTCCCATTTGTGGTCCCCAGTAGCTGGCATTCATAGATATCTAGATCTGTGGCCCTTCTTTAGTCTTTTGTCTACCGATAGGGTATGATGGAGGAAGTCTCTAACTTACATGACCCCTGAGGTAGACACTTCCCTGTGGAGATCTATCATTTCCCCACTGCACCATACAGAAGAGCTTCTCACATGGTGACTCCCAATGATACGGATGTTGCAAACCTCTAGGGTTTGCCCACATGAATATCTGGTTTCAATGGGAAATTTTTTCTGTCTCTATGCGTGAGGCTGTGGTACATACAGTCATGGGGAAAAGAAAGTGCGCCCTCTTTGAATTCTGTGGTTTTACATATCAGGACAGAATAGTAATCATTTGACACAGTGCAATATGTCATTTGATGTGGTTCATCTGAGATTGTATTTATCTAATTTTAAGACCTGATAAGGAACAGATGATTGTTATTATGTCCCGATATGTAAAACCACAGAATTCAAAGACAGTGCACTTTCTTTTCCCCATGACTGTATTACAGGCTGGGGTGAAACATCAGCAGGGAGAAACAGCTACGACGATTCCCGAGTTGGAGGTAAGCTTGCAAAAAACAAGGTTTGAAACTGATGTATGGGGTGATTCATTTGCAATGGACAATTCACACAACTGTGGAAGGCCTCATGTTCCCTTCTCGTGTCACTCTCACTTTGAGCTATGAAATAAACCAAAAAGAAGAGTTCTGCATGGTTGAGAAGAGTTCGGAAGAGAAAAGAACAAGGACTGACCTAGCAGCAATGTAGAGGGTTCTGTCCATTATCATGAGCAACTGGACGTCCAGCTTGTGCCTCTGTGGGGCGTTATGTCCTGGCTTGTGACCCACAAACACCGGATACTGTTTTGTATCTGTAAGAAACAGAGAGGAGTTGAAAGAAGAAAAGTCGAGAGACACTCAGTGAAAGCATGTAAACAGTCGTTCAGATGGTCTATCCTCAAATGAAGGATCCAGAATTCCTGCCCCGATTTCTTTCTCTTGGCATATAGGGTTAATCATCCACACAACAAATATTCCTGCTCAACAGTATCGGCTTCTTTGTTGTCACAAAAGGGATGTTATACTCTTCACAATTTTAAAAATTATTATCCTCCCCCCCCCAATAATTGCTAGAAGTTAATAGGCAATCCAACATTTACACCTGGGTTTATATTCACTCTTTGCAGTTTTAAATAGCTGGATTCTGCCTGCCAAAGATGATCCGACAGCATAACAGTGTTTTATAGAAGGCCAGCAATTACAGCAGTAGCCACGCTGTCTAGTGATTATAACAAAGTACTGAAAGATACCAAACTGGCAGATCTACGGGCTGCCCACATGATGAGGGTAACATTCTAATTGTGCTTATTTTTAGGAACAGAGGGGAGCCATTAATTGAGCTTTGCATCTACAAAAGCATCTGCTTTTTATTTTCTTCGCAGACAGTCTTATGAGGTTGTTTATGGAAAGTAGATTGCATTCTCTTATTTTACCTAATTTTATTCTGAAGGATCGGAGATGGCGGCTTCAGAATGGACTAGCGAGACTTTTATGGGAAGGAGCCGACTTGAAAACCATAATCAACTGCTAATTTCACACATCTTTCGGTGCTTATACTATAGAAAAAAATACAATCTTCTGGGGGTGAGGGAGATGCACAAGCCACACTGCGCTGCTGTGATGACTGCCACTAATACATAATAGCAAATGCAGAGATAAATGAGGCCGGTGTGAGTGATGCGGTTCAGGGGATTGAGCAAACCCTCTAGCAATCTGGTAGCTCTTTGTTTAGTCAGTTTAGTTTCTTGCCCTTGAAATATAAATTCTGCAGTACAGTACAGAAAGCTTCACAAATACATCCTCTAGGTTGCCACTGGTCACAGGAGCTTTGGCTCTGGTGAGTTCCTTTTCCAAGACAGAGAGAAATGAGCTAGAGATTTGACTTAATTTAATGTTGTTTGGGACCTCACTGGGACCCCCTTCTCCTGTGTCCCAGGACTTGTTAGAAAGGCAGGGTCTCTTCCCTTAAGTTGCACTTTGCTTTGGAAGCAGATAAACCTCCTCTGCTTCTGAATGCCCATGTAGCTCAACATGATGTCAAGCAAAATCCCTTCCATCCCACAATGCAGTGCAGGATCGGCAGTGATCACACATTCTAGATGGCTACTAAGGCAGTCAAAATGTGTGGACCATTAATGATGATTGCGCGAGCAGGCAGAGAATGGAAACTACTGGAGATAGAAAATGTAGTTGCATGCAAGTTAGAAAGAAGAATGAAAGATTTACATAACTATAACCTTTAAATTAATATATAACCTTGTTGTTATTTGATATAATTTTGTTTTAGCTATTTGCAGGAGTTGGTAAAGGGACAGCTGAGGAATGAGGAATTTGCTTTTTTTAAAAAAAGGATGTCAAATCTGTAAAATAAGCAGCATGCAAAAGGGGAAGAAATGGAAATATCTGAGAGAGAGAGAGTGGAAAGCCAGTTTTTGAAAAAAGAAGAAGTATCAAATTAGTTTTAATTTGGCATTGATGTGTTATAAATTCAAAAAAATAATAAAAATTAATTGGCAAAAAAAATGTGTGGACCACTGGATGAAACCTAACACCATCAAAATCAGGGATTCTCAAATTGTGTTATAAAGTCCCTTACTGGGCTGGTGACCTCTTTACATGACTGAAGAGTTCCCTGTGTCCTCTGTCGCAAAAAAATATATATGCAGTGCAGGCACTTCACATAGAATCTAGTTTGTAAAATCTTTTTCTTTTTCTTTTGTGGAGTCTACCTCCATGTGGATTGTCTGCCTGACATGTTATAACTGAGAGGATGTATGGATGTATGCATGCCCACTCCTCTGCTATGAAATATTTCAGGATGACCAGACAATATGACAAAAGAATTGTTATTTCCGATTCTAATTTGGGATGCGGACACTGTCAATTACACCATGAAAATGAAATTCTATTGTAAACCTAAATATATCTTCCAGGAAATAAGCCATAGTGATTTTAATGGACTCTAGGACGAAGGTGTCAGCATTTTGGCCTATTGCCATAGCTAGATTATAACTCTAATCCACTTACCTATAATTTTGACAAACAGTGAAGGTAGAAACTCACTACATCCTAATTGTCTTGAATGCTGAATCCATTGTTCAGTTACAGGGGTAGCACTGAGAGAAATTTATGTTATCTGGCGGTTTGAGACACACCCAGATGGTACCAAAGGCTAAGTCTGATTGGTGGGTTTGATTGTTCCAGGTAACCCAACAGGAGATTTAAAAACAACTACATAAATATATAATATTGTAGTACAGAGATGTGAAACTGATGATCAACAAGTATAACTCTAGAGTGGAAACTTCATGTGCAAATTAGGCAGTTCTTGCATTTTGGCAAAAAAAATAGCCTCATTTTGGACCTCCTTGGCTTTAGACTGCAACTGTTTCTTCAGAACTGGTTGAGTGTACAGTTTGTATGTATGTAGCCATGAAGAAACAAATACAGGCTTCCATGTTCCCTGGATTCTCCTTGTACCTTTTCTTCCATTAGTTTAGGTTTATCAAAGCCATGAAGACGTTTGGCTCCCCATTCGTTATCCCATTTGGATGGAGCAAATATTGCTCAAATACTACAAGTTATAGATTTGGTGATGTGGCTCAAAGCACTTCAATACACTGTAGAAACGAAAAGGGAATTTTTTACTAGAACTACTTTTGACTGGCATTGTACAGCCAGATACTGTGAAAGGTTTCCTCATTTACACATCTAAATCCTGATGGGGAAGAGAATATTATGCTAATCTGCTTCCAGGCAGGCTGCCACGAAGATCTGGTCTAGAATGGAAACTATTTCTTTCTAAATTCTGTTTTACATTACAACTGCAAAAATGGAGTACACATGCGCACACAGACAGCAATTTAGCATATGCATCATCATTTCTGTGCTAAATGGTGTGTTTCCCCCAGAATTTGGTTCTCTTGTTAAGGATTTGTCTGTGGTACATCTAATTGCTCATACTAAGACGTGGCTAATTCTGGTTTGAGCACCACTGAAAGGACGTTCATAGAAATAGTACTTCACAGATTGTCGGTTGAGCCGTTTCATGAAAAGTGGCATTTTTTTGTTGAAGGAGAGAGGTACCAGGTTGAAGAGCACAGTGGGTTGAGATACGACCAAAAGCAGGTATGGGAACTCGCTCTCTTGCATTCAAAGACTACTGGTTTGTAGCAAAATGATAGGGTTAGCATACGGAATAGCATACCCTCCAACATTTTCTCCAATGAAAATAATAATAACAACAACAGTCGTACCTTGGAAGTTGAACGGAATCCGTTCTAGAAGTCCGTACGACTTCTAAAACGTTTGGAAACCAATGCACAGCTTCTGATTGGCTGCAGGAAGCTCCTGCAGTCAATCGCAAGCCGCGCCGGATGTTTGGCTTCCAAAAATTGTTCGAAAACCAGAACACTCACTTCCGGGTTTCGATCGTTCGGGAGCTGATTTGTTCGGAAGCCAAGGCATTTGAGATCCAAGGTACGACTGTGATAATAATAATGTTAGTATTTATACCCCACCATTTGACTGGGTTGCCCCAGCCACTCTGAGCGGCTTCCAACATATATAAACACAAAATAAAACACTAAACATTAAAAAGTTTCCCTATACAGGGCTGCCTTCAGATGGTTCGGGGGTCAGATAACTCCATACCCGCCAACATTACTCCGATGAAAACAGGGATGTCCTAAGGAAGAGCGGGACATTTTGGGAGCAAATAAAAAAAGCCTGGATGGCTTCTGTAAATCTGGGAATGTTGCTGGAAAATAGGGACACTTGGAGGGATAAAGGAAAGATAGGTCTAAGGAGACGTAGCAGGAAACAAGAGCTCACAAATTTAAATCTCACTGACCAATAAGCCATGACTTGAAACTTGGGGGACAAGAAATCTAAGCGTAGTTTCCCTGCCTTTCATACTCACAGTTGCCATGCGAAATACTGATTGGTTCAGGATCTTCTGGGAAATCAGCCCCAGCAAAGTGTAGCAGTGTGAAATATAGCAGCAAGGCTTCTGACCTCATAGTAGTTCAGCTGGGAGACTATATCTTCAATTCACCCTGTGAAAGACAAACGAGGGCATAAGAGCTTTCCATCAACTCGCATTTAGCCACTACAAACAAAAATAGGCCTTGGACAGCCTACAAGGAACAAAGGGGGCTCTCCTGCCCTTCAAGGCATCCACTATAAAATAATAAATATGTTCATTTCAGAAGAAGAAAACCACCCTGACAGGAGGCCTCATTGGGCTCTAACATATAGTGGCACCAACATCTTAAAAAATAAAAAAAGACTTGAAGATGCTGCAAGCTATCAGTGAGTACTTTCGCTTCCTCTCTTGCTGCTGGTTTTTACTCTGCTCAAAAAACAACACCTTTTGTCCTCTGATACCTAGTTCTCCCTAAGAACTGGATTTTAATTATATTGGTTTTGATGACTTAAGTATGTAAATCATGAATACATGAATATGACACTGATGCCCCACCTTTCCTCGTCGTCCCCATTTTACCCTTACAACAATCCTGTGAGGTAGGATGGACCGAGAGTGAGTGGCTGGTCCAAAGGAAACCCAGTGAGCTTCATGGCCGAGTGGGAATTTGAACCATGCTCCTCCAACACTTTAACCACTACACAACCCTGGCTCTTGAGAGGTGGGGCAACATTTGACTTAAACCGCTGTGCCATTTCACTCTGCTAAGTAGAGTTCACACAATTTTATGGTGAATTTTAAAAACTTATTTCATCTTCTGTAAATAGTAAAGGTAAAGGTAAAGGATCCCTGACCATTAGGTCCAGTAGTGACCGACTCTGGGGTTGTGCTGCTCATCTCGCTTTACTGGCTGAGGGAGCCGGCGTACAGCTTCCGGGTCATGTGGCCAGCGTGACTAAGCCGCTTCTGGCGAACCAGAGCAGCGCACAGAAACGCCGTTTACCTTCCCGCCGAAGCGGTACCTATTTATCTACTTGCACTTTGACGTGCTTTCAAACTGCTAGGTTGGCAGGAGTAGGGTTCACACAATTTTATGGTGAATTAAAACTTATTTCATCTTCTGTATCTGTTTTGAAACCTCACTGAATGCACAGCTTAGAGACTACGGTGTTAAGCAGCGTATAAAATGGGTCAAACAAACAAACAAAAATAAATGTTTCCCCATACAAACAAAAAAAGCGGTCTACACAGAAAACTAGACGGCAGGAGCTTAGATTATCTCCTGAAGGCACATACTGCAGCAATGCTGCTAAAGTTTAAACTGGGTCTGGGTGTGGGCAGGAAACCAACAAGGAACTCTTATGTATGACGCCCTGTGGCCCAACATGGAAGGAAGGTTGGAAATAAATGTAATATGTAATAAATGCATTTTAGAAAGAGACTACGCTTTGTTCCTTCCATGTGCAGGTCACATATACAATCTTGTGAATGTGCAGTGTTATATAGCACTTAGATGAGACACATCTAAATCCACTGATCGCTGACCAAAGTTTTAGGCAAATGCTCCTTCTTCTAGGTAGGTATAAGATGGCTTAGCTCATAAATTAAAAACACTACACATTATTTAGGTTTATCAAGGGATTAAGGGACCTTCCAGGAGAATGATTCATAGTCACACGAGTTGTAAATCAAGAACAGCAACACGGGGAACAGGGCATGATGGAGCACAGTGAATGTGTCATGAGACTATACCATAAAAATATGAACTCATAAATTTAGATACTATAAAAACCAATGCTCCAAATTGCAGTAAAACTCCCTAAAAGCAGCAACTTCACTCTCACCCTCCCACCTGCTGGATCCTAGGCATGTCTTCTTCTTTTTCATTGTTAAATAAAAATAATTTTAAAAAGCAGAAAACTTTTGATTCAGTGAAAGGGTGGGGGTCCCCCCCCAACACAGCAAATATCCCATAATTCCCAGGCAAATTTCACAGAGGTGCTGCTGACCTACAGGATAAATCAGTGTAAAAGCAGGGATTTCTTTTCACCCTTCCCAGAATTTCAAACCTTTGATGCCGCCTGCCCAAGATTATCTTTTCGAACAAAGCTATTTTACTGTAGCCGCTCCATGATTTACACAAGGACAGCCAAGCTTTGTAACCAAAGGCGGCTTTTGAAAGTCCATTTGGCAAACAAAGTGCTAACTCGCCCTTTTGAAACACCATTTAATATTAGAGACCTATATGTCCTTTCCTCACGCCAAGAAAAGCATTAACAAGCCCTGTGTGTTTCGTTTCAGAGTGTAATTTCACAATTGGTTCTCAATCATTTATCCTGTTGGAAACACTGAAGTAATTAATTTTGAGATCCAGATATATACTTTTAAAACAAAACACTACGTTCTATTACAATCAAGGAGGTGGGACAGCTGTTCCGTAGTATGCCACTGGGAACCTCAGAAAGGCAAGATAAATTACTGTGCTCGCTACGTGCTTATTTTTATTTGAACATACAGCTTTTTAAAAGTCTGATTTTATATGTTATCTCTGAAATTGAGCATCACTCTCTGAGCCAATGGGCTGTGTCCAATGCTAGTCCTGCTCAGAGTAGACACTTTGAAATAAATAGACACGACTAACTTAGGTCTATTACTTTCAATGGATCTACTCTGAGTAAACCTTAATTATCTACAATCCAATAAACTTTGGTGTAAGCTACACTAGAATCAATGACACCCACACCAGCTAGTAGCACCAGGTATGAACATACGGAAGAAAAATGATATATGAGTTGAAAAAATGTTTAAAATAACTTTTTCTTTAAAAAAAACCCCCAAAGCCTTTATTTTAGGAATCCTAGGCGCTGAAATCCCAAGGGAGCAGAAAAGACTATTTATGTATGCGACCACGGCTGCACAGATGTTATTGGCCCAGAGATGGAAAGAAGATAAAGTCTCTACCAGAGAAGAATGGCAGATTGAGTTGATGGATTATGCCGAAATGGCAAAAATGACCGGGAGAATCAGAAATCAGGAAGACCAAAATTGTAATAAGGAATGGGGAAAATTTATAATTTATCTTAAAAATCATTGTAAACAGCTAAATTTATTGTAGGATTGGAATAACACTTGTGTTATTGGAATAACACTTAGTGGTGAATTTTGGACATAATGGAGATGTAAAAGATTTGATTATCAAATAAATAAATTAATAAATGCAGGAGTAAATGATTTAACAATAGGACCCACCAAGGGGAGGAGGGAAGTCCAGGAGATTCTTTGGAATCTGTTTTTATGTTGCATGTTGGCTATGTGATTGTAAAACTTTAATCTGAAAACCAAACACACACACACACACACACACAGGAAAATACAGAAGAAAAACTGCTGGGTTGTCATATTCTACACGAGAAACACACTTGTTTATAAAACTTCTAACCCCACTTTCTGCCAAATATCTACCTTAAGCAGCATACAAAATGAGAACAGGCCACACAATACATACGCTTCAGGTTACATACTCCGCTAACCCAGAAATAGTACCTCGGGTTAAGAACTTTGCTTCAGGATGAGAACAGAAATCGTGCTGCGGCGGCAGCAGGAGCCCCATTAGCTAAAGTGGTGCTTCAGGTTAAGAACAGTTTCAGGGTAAGAATGGACCTCCAGAACGAATTAAGTACTTAACCCGAGATACCACTGTACTTGGGGATATGTAGTGTCTGTTGCTGATTTGGATAGGGAGGGATAGGTACCTTGCATGCAGACCACTGTGGTGGACTCTATATACTTCATGCACGCATGCATGGTGGGTGTAGCAATCTATTAGATTCTCTAATACAATCTAGAATTGTGAGATCATCTAGCTGAACCTGGATAATAACACTAGACCTCCAATGAAGCTGAATGCTGGGAGATTTAGGACAGACAAAAGGAAGTTATTCATGCAGCCCATAGATAAATGCATGGCACTTGCTCCCACACGAGGCAGTGATGGCCACTGACTTGGATGGCTTTAAAAGAGGATTATAAATATTCACAGAGGCCACAGCTATCAAGAGAGAGCTATATCCCTTCACTGTTAGAAGCAGTCTGCCTCTGAATAAAATGTAAAGGACCCCTGGACGGTTAAGTCCAGTCAAAGGCAACTATGGGGTTGCGACGCTCATCTCGCTTTCAGGCCGAGGGAGCCGGCGTTTGTCCACAGACAGCTTTCCGGGTCATGTGGCCAGGATGACTTAACCGCTTCTGGTGCAACAGGACACTGTGATGAGTGCCAGAGTGCACAGAAACACCTTTACCTTCCCACCGCAGTGGTACCTATTTATTTATTTGTGTTGGTATGCTTTCAAGCTGCTAGGTTGGCAGGAGCTGGGACAGAGCAAAGTGACTTGGACTTCTGATTGGCAAGTCCAAGAGTCTCAGTGGTTTAGACCAGAGCGCCACCCGCGTCCCAGCCTCTGAATACCCATTATTGGGAACCACTGATGAGCAGAGTGTTGTTGCACTCGGGTCCTGCTTCCCACGGGTATCTTGGCTGACCTCTGTGAGCATAGGATGCTGGACTAGATGGGCCATTGGCCTGATCCAAAAGGCTCCCCTTATGTGCTTATGTAACTTAGCCACACATGTTAAAATTGGACTTTGAAGTCTCTGTAAATGCGCAGTAGGGTCCTCTAGTGTTTCATCAAAGTTAAAATGTAACTGCACCGTATTAAACAGATACAAAATAAAAAGGAAGAGCTGAAATGCATTTAAATAATAATGGTTCATTAAAACTTAAGAGGAGCCGAAGATGGCATTTTTGAGAAAAACACCAAGTTTTATTAAACGTTTTCAACATAAAACACAATAAAAATCACACTAATCTAAAATGGATATGCATGGAAATCCAACCAAGGGGACGTCACTTAACAATAAGTATAATTTTTAATAAGATTATGATTTATGTCTGTTTGTTTGTTTCGTTCATTTATAATTTTGTGAAAATTAATAAAAAAAATCACACTAATCTAGAAAAGAAAAATAGAAAAAAGCAAAAAGAAGGAAAGGAATGAAAGAAGGAAAGAAGAGAAAGAAGGAAAGGAAATTACGGAGCCCTCCATCCAAATTAAATCTTAACCCTTATTCCAC